CAGCCAGCATCCTTTAAGACCTCAACTCCCAGAATTCTCCAGCCGGCAGGCTTTAAGATGGATGGACTTCGACTCCCAGCATTCCCCAGCCAGCAGAAAGTTGTGCAAATGAGTCCTTTCTCCAGTTCCAAGAAGGCTCCACACCCGTTTGCACCACTCAGGTGACCTTGAGGAAACAGACAGACCACCAAGTGGCCTCAACGTCTCTCTAAAAAGGATGCAAATGACCAGCTGCCTGCAAGGAGTATAAATCCTTCCATTTCCCCACCATCCAGTCAGAGCTGAGGAAGCTTCTGGAAGCAGAAGCAAAACCTCTTCAAAGCAAAACAAGAGAGTCCAGTTGCCTCTTGGAAGAAAAAAAAAGCACCTTTGGGCTGTCCCAAACTGCTTCTCTCGTGGGAGGAAAACACCTATATATATCTTCACCGGTGTGGCTGCTTGCTTCCCCCCACCCCACCCTCCGGACATTTGCCTAGCTCTTGGACTCAACTCGCCCCCTCCCCAGGCTGGTGCTTGGAGAAAATCAAAAGGTGGTTAAAAACAAGAGGGCAGTCAGAAATCAACAAGGGGGGGGGGTTGGGATTTGCCTAAGTTGCAGGCTGGTAAACCGGCCTTTGCTTCTGATTTTGTAGCAGCCAGGATCCGGCGTCCTCGCTCAGTCGCGCTGCTAACTCGGTTGGCTTCATTTTGCAAAAAGCACCCAGCAAGGGAGTCTTATTTGAAGGCCTTTTCTCCTACAGCAGCTACACTCCCAGGCCTGTTGCTATGGTGTGTGTGTGTCTGTGTGTGTGAGAGAGAGAGGGGGGGTTGAAATATTGCACGCACAGAAGGCGAGCGGCAAGTGAGCAGGTGTCTCTTTAGACAATGCCGTTGCTTTTTCCTGCTCCAGTGGGAGGGCAAATGGAAGGGGGGGGGTTGGGGGGGTAGGAAAAGTGGAAAAAGAAGGAAAAAATCAAGGTTGAAGGGGGGGGGAACGGAAAAAGGGAACCAGTTCACACACTGGGTCCTGGTCTAGAGAGGGTGGATCTGAGAAATGAGGCTGGGGTATGCATGGAAGGAAGGCTTCCTTTTCCAGCTTTTGTTAGGGGCTGAGTTAGCAAGTCGTTCTCCTAATCCCAGAGAAGAGAATTTTTTTATTCTTTTATTATTAAAAGACATAATCTCCTGGATTTGGGAACGGCACGGATCACATCTCTGGAGAAGAGGACTTGCAGAGATTCGCTTCTCCAATCTCACCTTATTTTATTTTTTTTTCCCCACATATTTTTGGGGGGGACAGGTACCTCCTCATTTGGTGTTTGGTGTGTAACACACTTCCTTTTTTCCCTGACATTGTCTAAATCTAGGATCGGTTGTTTTGTTTGATTCTCGGACCGGCTCTGCTCTTTCGAACAGCGTGTAAAGGAGGGCGGGAGCCCTCGCTAAAAAAAAAAAAAATGAAGCAAGGCCAGGGCAAAAATAAAATGTGTTTGATTTGGCTTTCGGTTGTATTCATCTGGAATTCGCCCTGGGTAATTCAAGAGGCTCCTTTCCCATGGGTGGTTTTTTCCCTGCGATCCGACGATTGCAGACTTCAAGAACCGACTGGTCTCACTTACAACTAGAACACACTGCCTCCAGTTTTGGTCCCCCCACCATAAAAAGATGCCGAGACTCTAGAAAGAGTGCAAAGAAGAGCAACAAAGATGATCAGGGGGCTGCAGGCCAAACCCTATAAAGAACGGTTGCAGGAATTCTGTATGTCTAGTTTAATGAACAAAAGGACCGGGGGGGGGGACACAAAAGCAGTATTCTATATATTTGAGGGGCTGTCCCCAAAAAGAGGGAGAGAATCTCTTGGTTTGAGGGTCTCTTGGTGGAGCAGGGGGGTGGACTAGATGGCCTACAAGGTCCCTTCCAACTCTTGTCATTCTGTATTCCTCCAGTAACGTGTGTTCCCCAGTCCTTTCCAGCCCAGATCTTGCTTCTTCCTGCTCTCCTTCCAATTGGGCGACATTTGTCCTCTTCTCCCCAGGGCACATGGTTGCCCCCTCCGTGGAAAAATGAAAGCTGAGCACCGGGGCGGATTTGCAGATGGGGAGACCTGTTTGGAGGGCCAAACCCCCACTAAGCTTTTGCCCTTCCAACTAATTGACCTTGGAAACAAACAGAATTCTCATCCAGGACCTGGTGATTGGCTAGAGCTCCTGGATGCAGCCCCTTCCCCACTTTCAGGGCACTGGTCCCTTGACATCAAAGTGTTTTTCCAAAACATTAGGGAAGGGGCAGGGTTTTTTTTCCCCTCCCTCCTTCTCTCTTTCAATCTTCTTCTCTGCTTCTCTTCTGCAGCTATTGTTTCCTTTCTTTCTGGGGGGGGGGGTGGGCCGTTCTCCCTCCAGTTGAGGGCAGGGGCGTGTAGGGAGGTGGGGGGGGGGAGAGAGAAAATTTGCACGGTGTTTTCGGGTTTGGATGGAGGGGAAGGCACAGGGAGATGATTGAACCAACTCCCAGAATCCCCCAGCCAGCATGCTTTGAGATGGAAGGACTTCAACTCCCAGAATCCCCCAGCCAGCATGCTTTGAGATGGAAGGGCTTCAACTCCCAGAATCCCCCAGCCAGCATGCTTTAAGATGGGTGATCTTCAACTCCCAGAATCCGCCAGCCACTTCAATTGTGGGAGTTGAAGTCCACCCAATTTAAAAATTGCCAAAGTTGAAAAACACTGCCAATAGACCAGTAAATCAGCCACTGTCCTAGATATTCCTAGCTAGGACCTCTGTTTACGTCTTGAGGAATCAAAGGGAAGAGATTGCTGTCTAAGAATATCCCAAATTTAATACCGGAGGGATAGAGAAGTAATTTTATCAGACCGGACTGGGTCAAGATGGGCTAAGGATGCACAAGAGAATTCCGTTGAAGAACTGATCTGTTTTCGAGCTTCATGCAATTCTCGCAACACGCTAAGCCACGCTCAGAATTCAAACCCACATTGAAAGCACCCAAACCCAGGGTAATGTGCGAACGCTTCTGCCCCATCTTCAGCTAACCTGCTTAAACATATTGGGCAAACTCTGCCAATATGTGAACTGTCCCTCAACAATTCCTTCTCCCAAATTCACACGCCCAATGAATATACTCTGGGAATATTCTCCCCCAACAGATCCTTGTGTTGCTGATCCCAGATAAAGTGCCTAGTCCCTAGTCTTTTTCTTTCCCTCTGCAAAGTCTTCTAAAAGAGAAAAAAAAAATTGCCTTCGCCCCATAATTTGGGAAACTTTGCTAGGGGGCATTTCAGCCTCTGAGATGCCCCCCCCCACAGCATAAAAGGGAGAAGCTGGTTTAGCCATTGCCCAGAGATGCTTTTGAGGGGAGGGGGTGGGGAATGCGGTGCTGACCAGTCCCTCTACAATCTCCCCCCCCCCAATCCAAACGTTGGGCAGGAGAAAAACCACCCCTGGCCCCGCAGCCAGATGGGAGGGGTCTTTCTTACAATGGGGGGGGGTGATGCCCACGCAGGTTGGGGAGGGGGGGAGAAAAGGCATCCCATGGGGCTGCAGGGAGAGAAGCTTGGATTCTTGGGGGGGGGGAAGCAAGGGAGGAGAGGAAGAGGAGGGAGGACCCCTGCCCCGGGTCTACAGCGCGAGGGGTCCGCAACGGGGAAGAAGGGAAGGGACGGGCCAGCTTTTGTCCATTTGTCGACACTCCCCCCCCCCGAAAAGGCAGGAGGAGGGGGGGCGGCGGCGGGAAAGGGCCGGAGCGCGACTCCCACGTGCCTTTGGCCGGGAAGGGGACCCCAGCCTCGCTGCAACGGGGCTGCCCCCCCCCGCACACACACACGCACACACACGGGAGGGGGCGGTCTGCCAGAGCTGGGGGGGGGTCCCTCGGCTTGACCTTGCCTTGGGGCGCGCCCCCCCCTCTGCCTGGCTCGCTCCCGAGCCGCGCACATCTGGAGCGCGCGCTCCCCCCCCTCCTCCTTGCCTTTCTCTCCCTCCTTCCCGCGCCGGCGCCTCCGCGCGCCTCTGGCCAGATGTGCAGAGGCAGGAGCCGGCGGAAGGGTCTGGGGGAAGAAGAGGAGGTGCGAAGGCAGGCGGGGGGCTGGATCTACTTTCTCCCAACCAGCAGCCGGAGAGCCAGGGCTGGGGGGGGGAATCTGGGGGGGGGGAGCGAGGAGGAGGAAGGAGGAGAGGGAGGAGGGAAAGCGGGGGAGAGCGCCGGGCTGCGACTCATTGTGCGAGCGGGAGGGGAAAGGAGCTGGTGGCCGCGGCGGGAGGAGGAGGAGGAGAAGAGGAGGAGGAAGAAGAGGAGGAGGAGGAGAAGAGGAGGAGGAGGAAGAAGGGGGCAGCGCTCGCGAGTAGCCCTCGCCCGCAACTTTTTTTTTTTTCTTTTTTGCACTTCAAGGGCCCCGCCCGCCTGGAAACGGGGTGGGGGGCTTTTTCCCCTTGCAACCCCCCCTCCTTTGCACAAGTTAGGGCATCTCTTGAAAAAAAAAGGGGGGGGAACCAAGCTGATTTAGGGCTGGGGGGGGGTCGCTTAAGGAGACTTCCAGGGGAGCAAAGGAAAGCCCCTTCCCCAGTTTTTTGAAGTTCTTTTTTTTTCCAGCCCCCCCTTCTGTCTGGCCAGGGCTTTTAGGGGCAGGATCCGGGGGGCTCCTTCTGGCGACACCCCCTCTTCCCCGGGGGGTCCCCCTCCTCTTTTGATCTCCCCTCCCCCAGGGGCTCAGCGCCCTCCCCCCCCCCGGGAGACTTCCCCCCCCTCTCACTCCGCCTGCGCCCCGTCCGGGGAAGTTTACCGTAACTTTGCAAGGCGGCGGCGGCGCGGGGGGAGGACCCCAGGCGAGAAGGAAGCGGCGCTCGGGGTCCAGGAGAAGCCGAAGCGCGTCGCAACCTGGCCCGGCTCGGCCGGGGCTTCTGGGTCCGGGAGTCCTCCACCTTGGCCTCTTCCTTCTTCCTCCTCCTCTTCCTCCTGATGGTTCAACGGCTTTGAATTGGGGGGTCGGGGCCAGGGGGGCGGTGGGAGTGGCGGGCGCCCAGCTCCGTCTCCCCCAGAGGCAGCCGGAGCGACGATGCCTTCCGTCATGGAAAAATCGGGGATCCTCTCCAGGAGCCGGGCCAAGTCGGCCACCTACGGCCCCCACCCCAATTCCGAGGATGAGAGCAGCGAGGAGGAACACTCGCACGGTGAGACGAGTGGGGGGGTGGGGGGGGCTTGGGGGTCGTCGGAGGGAGGGAAGGCAGCCAGGATCGGGCCCGGGGCCCAGCCGCCCCCTCCCCAACGGGAAGGCAGCCAGGATCGGGCCCGGGGCCCAGGCGCCCCCTCCCCAACAGTCTCCCCCGGGCGGGGGAGCGGAGCGACATAAGACCCTCGCCGCCCTGCTCTGCGCTCTTCTTCCCCCGCGAGGTGATGTGGGGGGACACGAGTGGGGGGGGGACACACCGGGGGCTGATCTGGGACCCCCCCCACCCGTCGCTGGAAGCGTGCAGATGGCCCACAACTTGCTAGCACAACAATAACAATAAGGCGGGTGGGCGAAGGGGATGGGCAGCGCGGGACTTGGGGGAGGAAGATGGGCCCGGAGTTTATGGGGGGGGTGGGCGGGTGGGAGAAGGGGAGGCCAGAGGTCTGGGTCGAGGTGGTAGCCTTGGAGAAGCCCCCCCCCACTCTCCACCTCGCTCCCGGGGTTGGGGCTGCCAGGGTGAGACAATGCACTGCCCCCCCCCACCGGGGGTGCCCTTTGGGGGCGATCTCCTGGCCCCCATCCTCTCCGCCAGTTGGGCGAGGAGGAGGAGGAAGATGATGAAGGATGCTTAGGGTCTGCTGGCTGCTCCATCCTCTCCTCACCCCCCCCCAGCTTAAAATTGGGAAGTTCGCTTTGGAAGCACTCCATTTCGTACCCCCCTCCCGTCTCAGCTCGTGCTCCCCTTTAGGCATGGCGCGGGGGTCTTCCTGCACCGCCCCCCCCTCCGCCGGCTTTGTTTAGCCTCTCTAGGGGATGAGATGTGGAAGGAGCCTCCCCATGGCTGAGGAGGGGGGGAGGGTCTTTTCCTCCCGCAGCCAAGCTTCTTGGTTGGGGGGGGCTGCTTACAAGACTACCGCTGGGAGAAGGGGGGGCAGGAAGCCCACTGGCCAGAGAAAGACCCCCAACAGGCTCCCTGTGACTTATTCCTTTGCAGTGTGAATTCCTGGGACGTGTGTTTTGTTGGCTGGATGGAGCATCCATGGCTGGTCAAGCCAGCAGACCATGATTCTCTGGACAAGCTTTGCTAATTACAACCCCCCCCCCCATTATTACTTCCGTGGTGGTGGTGGTGGAGGGGCGGGGAAGCGCAGCTCAAGCTGTTTCAAAGCCATCTGTCTCTGCCAAGTCATCCCCACGCCACTAAAATTGCCCACCAGCACTGGGCCCAAAGCTACCTTGATTTCCCCCCCCCACACACACCCATGAAATACAGGAGGTGTTTGAGAGGAGGGGCACAAGTCCCATGATGCCCCCTACAAGGGAGCTCTACCTGTTTGGAAACCTGAAAGGGCCCACTCCGTCCCCCCCATCCTGGAGAAAGAGGCTGGTGGTGGGTGTTACCCCAAGTCCTGAATAGCAGGACTCCCCAGAACGTTCTCAGCTGCCCCCCCCCCCAAGTGTTCCTGAGACCTTGTGCCAGGAAGCTTGGCTGTTCCTTGGCATGTGATTGGCTAAATGTTTCCAGATCTAGCTGCTGCTTAGCAGCTGTTTAAGAATATCAAAAGAGCGAGGGGGGGAAGGAAGGAAGGAAGGAAGGAAGGAAGGAAGGAAGGAAGGAAGGAAGGAAGGAAGGAAGGAAGGAAGGAAGGAGAGGGAGTAATGAAGGGGAGAGGAAGGGAAGGAAGGAAGGAGTAACAAAACAGAGAGGGAGGGAAGGAAGGAGAGAGGAAAGAAGGAGAAGAAGACAGAGTAATGAAGGGGAGCGAAAGGGAAGGAAAGGAAGAGGAAAGAAGAAAGGAGTAACAAAGAGGAGGTGAAGGAAGGAAGGAAGGAGAAGGAGACAGTAATGAAGGGGAAGGGAAGGAAGGAAGGGGAGAGGGAGAGTAATGGAGGGAAGGAAGGTAGGAAGGAAAGATGAAGAGAAGGAAGGAGGGAATAACAAAAGGGAGCGAAAGGGAAGGAAGGAAGGAAGTAGTAACAAAGGGGAGGTAAAGGGAAGAAAGGAAGGAAGCAGGGAGAGGGATAGTAATGGAGGGGAAGGAAGGAAAAAAAGAGAAAGAGAAGGAAGGAAGCAGGGAATAACAAAAGGGAGGGAAAGGGAAGGAAGGAAAAGAGAGGAAGGAAGGAGAAGGAGTAATGAAGGGGAGCGAAAAGGAAGGAAAGGATGAGGAAAAAGGAAGGGAAGGAAGGAGCAACAAAGGGGAAGGAAGGAAGGAAGGAAAAACAAAGAAAGCAAAGGGACAGCAGCTGATGGGGGAAGACAGGCTTGTACAAAGCCACTCAAAACTTTAATTGCAGGAGGTGCCTTGGCTTGTTGTTTTCTGGTGTGTGTGTGTGTCTGTGTGTCCCCCAAGGGGCCTTGATTCTCCAGTACCCAAAGGTCTGTGCTTCAGGGATGATGTGTCTGGAATGCTAACACAGCCAGCAAGGACCAGGAAGGAGGGGGGGGCTTCTCCATCCTCAGGGGCTTCTCCCCAACTCTCTGGCTTCACTCTGGAGAGGATCAGAGCGGTGGCTAGCTCGAGGGGGGGGGGCTGGGGGGAGGAGGGAGAAATCTCCCTTGGGCCCAAAAGTTGCCTCTGCTCAGCCCTGGGGGGGGGGGGCAGCCGTGCCCTCCTGCCACCTCCCAATTATCTCGGCAGGCCAAACATACCTTCCACTTTCCATTGGTGGGGGGGAGGGGGGTCGTTCAGGTGAAATGGGGGGGGTGCAGTGGTGTCTCTCTGTGTGTGTGTGTGAGCGTGCGCTGCCATTGTTTTACCAGATCGGCAAATCCAATTTCAGCCAAAGCTTTTTTTTTTTCCCCCCCTTAGGGTGCCTGAAGATGCTGGCAGAGGGTGAATCCCAAAGGGGGTTGGGAAGCGTGCTGGGCCGCTGAAGCGGGGTCCTTGGCTCCAGCCTGACAACTCAGCACCCTTGAGAAGCCCCCCCCCCAGCTCCTTCTCTCCCCCCCCCCCCTGTTAACTTGAGAAGCTGGCCTGAGTTTTTAGCCTCTCTTGTTCCTTTGCAGATAGTATGATCCGGGTGGGAGCAGATTACCAGGCAGTCATTCCAGAGTGCAAACCAGGTAAAAAAAGGGGGGGAGGGGGAAAAGGGGGAGGGAATGGAGGAACACCCCCCCTCTCCTTTTGCCAGTCTGCAGGCAAATGGGAAAGCGGTTTTCTCCCTCTTTATTTAAACCCAATTTGTATAGGGGTGATTGCGGGACGTCCCTAACTAAAAATATATAAAATCCTTCTGGAAGAAGCCAGCCAGCCAGAAAGGGGGATTGGGGTGGGGTGGGGGGCTTGACCTCTCTAGCCTGCCCCTTGGCCCCTTCCTGGCCATTTCTCCCACCTTCTTTCCTCTCCACTCCCCCCCTCCCCAATTTGAAAGCTCAAAAAAAAAAAAAAAAAAAAAAAAACGCCTGGCCTCCCCACCCATGCCATCCTGCCTGCCCATTTCAGCCTTTGCTCTTAGTTAGGGGGGCTGTGGTGGAGGTCAAGACCTTTCTTGCTGTGCTGGCTGAGTGTGTGTTTGTATGTGTGTGTTTGTGTGTGTTGGGAGGAGTGCCCATTGTCTAATTTAAAAAAAAAAGAAGTAGGCATGTCAGTTGGGCCACGCTAATGGTGCAAGGAAGGGTGGGCAAGCAAAGGCAACTGGGGTGGGGATAAGGGGGCTGTGCCTTCCTTGCCTCCCTCCCTTGCTTTCTTCATCCCCCCCCCTCCATTCAACTCTCCCCCTCCTTTGGGGGAGGGGGACGTGGCCTGCTGGCCCCCGTGTGTGTCCTCATGGCCCCTCTGCTCTTTTTTTTACCCAGAGAGCCCGGCTCGATACAGCAATAAAGAGTTGAAAGGCATGCTGGTCTGGTCACCCAACCACTGCGTTTCCAACGCCAAATGTGAGTGGAACCCCCCCCCTCCATGGTGAAGACAGCACCAGATCGATGGCCTTTGCCTTCCAGGACCCCCTCCCCAGCCCCCCCTGCTCTCCCTACCCCGCCCCCCCAGCTGATTCCTCCAAGCTATTTTGATCTTTGCATGCACTGAGTGGTGTTTTTTTCACCCCCTCTCTTTTCCCTCCTACTTTGAGCCCACCCCACCTCAAGAAGCAACCTTGCGCTAGATTTTCTACTGGGGGGGGGAAGCATATATTCCACAGCTGGTAGCAGAGCCTTTGATTGACAGCTCTTCCCTCCCCTCCCTCTAGAAGCCATTACTATGCGGTTGATGTGTTCCCAGGTTTTTAATCTGGCTGGTATAAGAAGCTGGGGGTGGGGGCGGAAGCAGGAGGGGGAGTCCAGCCTTTGCTGAAACCGGGGGGGGGGTCCTCAGTGTTGGGGTGCGGCGCTCCCACGGGGCGCTTTCAAGGGGTACCCGCTAAAAGCACGATGGCTTTTATGATGGGCTGCAACTGCATCCTTGTGAGATTTGCGGGTGGAAATGAAGGGTGTGTGTGTGTGTGTGTATGCGCGTGTGTCAAAAACAGGTAGTCCTTGACTTACAGCCGCTCGTTTAGTGACGGTTGGAAGTTACAACAGCCCTGGAAAAATGACCGTTTTCGCAGCATCCTCATCCAAATTTAGACACTGGGCAACTGACTCGTGTTTATGATGGTTGCAATGTCCCTCTGTGTGTGTGTGTGTGTGTGTGTGTGTGTGTGTGTGAGAGAGAGAGAGAGAGAGAGAGAGAGAGAGAGAGACATGATTCCCTTTTGCAACCTTCTGACAATAGGGGGTTGGACTAGATGACCTGCAAGGTCCCTTCCAATTCTTGTTATTCTAATTCTAATACACATACTTCTACATGGCTTCAAACCCCGCTTTACTGCTCTCTCTAAGCCAGGGCTCTTCCACAAGTCATAAAAGGGCCAAGTTTGAAGAGCCCTGCTCTGATCAGTTTGCACATTGCCAGAAAATCTGGATTGCTTTACAAGGGCATGGAAAAAAAAAAATGACTTCCCCCCCCCCAGTGCCGTTGTAACTTCGAACGGTCGCTAAACGAACGGTGGTAAAGCGAGGACTACCTGTGTAACCCTATTCATTCTGGCGATGGCCCCGCCCCCTTTCCCAGAGTCTGACATTTCTCTCTGTCTCCCCCTAGTGGACAAATACATCGCCATGGCCAAGGAGAAGCACGGCTACAACATTGAACAGGTAAAGGGACAAAATAGCATTAAAAGCCCAGCCAAACCTCCCATCTCAATCTGGTCACTCGTCTTTTTTCGGGGTCAGCTTCCCAACAGGCACTAGAAACTTATGTTTAAAGGGACTCTCACCTTTCCAGGTTTGGAAGAAACAGGCTTCTCCATCCACAGTCTCCATCTCTTTTTCTTCTCCTCTCCCCCCCCCCAAAAAAACAGGCTTTGGGGATGCTCTTGTGGCATAAACACGATGTGGAGAAGTCGCTGGCCGATTTAGCCAATTTCACGCCGTTCCCCGATGAATGGACGGTGGAAGACAAAGTCCTGTTCGAACAAGCCTTCAGCTTCCATGGGAAAAGCTTTGCTCGGATCCAGCAGATGGTACATAAAGGCTTCCTTCTCCGTGGCCCCCGTGGTTAGGGTGCTGCTGTGGGAGGGGGGGGGCACTGGATTTAAACCAGGTTACTCTGCTCTTTTTTTAATCCGCCCGCACTAGAGCCAATGAAGTTGATTGACATCTTCTTAAAGTCTTAAAAAAGAAAAAGAAAAAAAAAATTAGTGGCCAAAATGAATGAATGAATGAATGAATGAATGAATGAATGAGATGTTTAAATTATAACTTCCCAGCAAAAAGCAGGTTAGCAGCAGCTGGCTGTGTAGACAGTCAGCAATTGCATTTGCTGGCTGAAAACCAACCAGCCAGCCCGTTCTTTTGCTGGTAAGCAAGCAAGAAAATATGTTTTTGTCCTATTGAGAAGCAATGTCACTATGCAAGCCTGGGTCAATTGTGGTGTCGCAATCCTGGGTCATACCTTGTTGTATGCAAGAGAGAGAGAGAGGGGGGGGGAGGGAGGGAGGGAGGGAGAGAGAGAAAGAGAAAGAAAGAAAGAAAGAAAGAAAGAAAGAAAGAAAGAAAGAAAGAAAGAAAGAGACACAGAGACACAGACAGAGGGGAATGAATGAATGGATGAATGAATGAATGAATTACGGAGGGAGGGAAATGAAAGAAGGAAGAGAGGGAAGGAGGGAGGAAAAGAAGGGAAGGAGAAAAAGGAAAAGAAAAAGAAAGAAAAAAGAAAGAATAAGAAGGGAGGGAGGGAAAAGGAAGAAGGAAGGAGAAAAAAGAAAGGAAAGAGGAAGAAAAGGAAGGAAGGAATTATGGAGGGAGGGAAATGGAAGAAGGAAGGAAGGGAGGGAGGGAGGAAAAAGGAAGAAAGGAGAAAAAAGGAAAACAAACAGAAAAAAAAGAATAAGAAGGGAAAGAGGAAAAAGGAAAAAGGAAGGAGAAAAAAGGGAAAGGAAGAAAAAGAAAAGAGAAAACGAAAAGAAAAGAAAGAAAAAGAAAAGGGCAGGGCTTCTGGTATACCTTATTGGCCTCCATTTCTAAGCAAGAGAAGTATTAGGTTTTCCAATTTCTAGCAAAAAAACCCCCCATCTCCATGCTTTTGAATCAAGCTGGATTTGCACATGGAAGGGAATATTCGTAGCTGTGGGGTCCTTGGTGCTCTCTGAACCTAAGATTGTTTTTTTCTTGGTCGACGTTTCATGACCCAACGGTAACATCGAGAGAGCTAAAAGAGAGTTGACTCTCATGATCTTTTAGCACCAAAAAATATTACCTGGTTGAGTAAGGAAATGCCTGCAGGAAAACCACCCAGTCCGAAGAGCACCAAGGACCCTACAAGTCATATCCAGCTCCCCTTGAGTGAGTTTGACCTCTGTGTAAAGTGTGCTGGGTCTTTCGCAGGCCCAGTTTTAATTGTGTCGTGTTCTGCAACCAGGCCGGCACAAGGTATTGATCCGGTCAGCCTTATACGGAGGGTTGATCATTATAGGAAAGCGTAGTAGAGGCTGGATTTCTTGACCCACCGACATTTCTCTCTCTTCCTCTCCCTCCCTCCAACTCAATGTAGCTTCCTGACAAGTTAATCCCCAGCTTGGTGAAATATTACTACTCATGGAAAAAGACGAGAAGTCGGACAAGTGTGATGGACCGGCAAGCCCGCAAGTTGCTCAGCAAGAAGGAGAAGGATGACAGGTGATCCAGCAAAGGGAGGCAAAGGAAGGTGTTGGTTTTGGGGTGATGGAGAGGACTTTGCAGCAGGTTCTCCTACCACCCAAAAGGCCTTCTGAACATGTTTGAGGCCAAATGCAGCTTTGTGTTTGTGTGTATGTGTGTGATGTAGAAATAGAGGCAAACCACACAGATGGTTTTTGCTTGAAGTTGTTTCTGACATCTAGGGAAGAAACTAGGATAAACCACCGAGTAGATCAGGGGTCTTCAAACTTGGCAACTTTGATGACTGGTGGACTTCAGCTCCCAGAATTCCTCGTGCCTGGCTGAGGAATTCTGGGAGTTGAAGTCCACCAGTCATCAGAGGGCCAAGTCTGAAGACCTCTGGAGTATGATGGAAACATCTAAAATCATTTGTAGGATAGGCAGGTGTGGGGTGGCTGGAGAAGACCGCACTCAAAGTTGCCGTTATTTTATACCCACAGCAGCGATGAACTGGAAGAGGCCCGCCAGGCCAGCGAAGGCGAATTTGACGCCATGGATCCCAAGAAGGAGGTAAGGGATATCAGAGTCGGAAGGGACCTTGGAGGTCATCCAGCCCAACCCCCTGCTCAAGCCAGCAAGAAGACCTATTTCATTTCAGACAAAATGGTTGTCCAATCTCTTCTTGATAAACCTCCAGAAATACGGTACCTTGAAGCAGGAATGCCTTGGGGGTTTTTCCCCCCCAGATTTCATCCCTCTCCCCTCTTTCCCCCCAGCCTAGTTATCCGAAGGCCCCCAACAGCAAACCTGGGCCAATGAAAAAGGAGGTCCAGCTGCCTCAATATCGGCACCACCCTCTCCGCGCTCGCCGGCGCCCTCCGAAGGGCATGTATCTGAGCCAGGAAGGCATCACGGGCCTCTCCGCCAGTCCTGACATGGCCGTGCTCACGTTGCGCCATCTGGACTCCCAGCTAGTTTCGCTAAAACGCCAGGTAAAAAAAGTCCAAAATCTTTCATTTTCTTTTATTATTATTTTTTTTGCATTTGGTCCTGATTTTAAAGGTATTTTCGGCAGCTGAGGAGGGCTAAAGTCACAGCGGCAGAGCATCAAAGCTGCGTTTTAATCACTGACATGCTTCCGTTTGTTTAAGAAGTGGGGATTGGAATGGAATGAGAGCCGGAAGGGACCTTGGAGGTCATCTAGTCCAACCCCCTGCTCAGGCAGGAGACCCTATGCTGTTCCAGACAAATGGATGCCCAATCTCTGTTTGAAAACTTCCAGTGATGGAGCACCCACGATTTCTGGTGGCAAGTTGTTGTACTGGTTAATTGTTCTCGCGGTCAGGAAATTCCTCCTTAATTCATTCCAAAAGTGAAATTGGGAGAGTGAGCAAAAATTGCCCAGTCCAACTGGATGAAGTGGTGGCCCCGTCCAGGTTTCTGGCATCTCACCTTCCCTTAGGTTGCCTCTTGATCGTAGTCAACCACACCTAGAGGTACTGATGGCAATCACTAAAAACGTGCAAATTACCGAAAAACTGGCATTTAAGTTGCTCCTCCATTATCTACAGTTGGTTGATGGGAGATTCTGTTATTCTGTTAAGATTCTGTTATTCTGATTCCAGCGTCTTGGTCTACACTTCTGGGATGAGGTTTCACTCCAGTTTCTCTCCTCGATTAGTTTCCATCCCTTGCTTCTTGCCCTGCCTTCAGGACAGTGGGGAAAGTTGCAAGTCTCACTTAATGGCAATAGGGATTTGCTTAAGGACTGTGGCCAAAAAAGGCCGCCAAATCGGATCGTGGAGGGCTTAATGACCAATTTTCCAAGGTTTGTTGCTGTACGTTGAGGACTTCTCTTTAATTTTCAGGTCGGTAGTTTGGTTACCAGTTCCTCTTTTGTCTCCTCCTCCTCCTCCTCCTCCTCCTCCTCCTCCTCCTCCTCCTCCTCCTCCTCCTCCTCCATCTTTTTAAGCTTGTGGGGTGCTGCTGCTGCTGACTCTTTTTGCCTTCCCCCCCCCCAAACTTGGAAACCCCATACTGAGACTCCCCATCCCTTCCATGCTAGGTGCAGAGCATCAAACAGATCAACAGCAGCATGAAGCAGGCGCTGGGCGAAGGGATACACAAACTGCGCCCCCCTGAGGTGAGTGCTCACCTGTGGGCCCATGCTTGGACCCCAGGAAGGACGGCCTCGACTCATTCAGGGCAAGGATGAGAGGTCCACCTTTGTGCCCCCCAAAAAAGGAGTAGGGGGACAGGCGAAAGGTTAGGTTTAATTTATTTAAGAGAGCCATTTTGGTCTGGCCTGGTTAAGGCCCCAGGCTAGAAACTAGGAGATGGTGAGTTCTAGTCCCACCTTAGGCATGAAAGCTGATTGGGTGACTTTGGGCCAATCACCAGAAGACAGTGAGTTCTAGTCCTGCCTTGGGCCTGAAAGTTGTCTGGGTGATTTTGGGCCAATCACCAGGAGACAGTGAGTTCTAGTCCTGCCTTCGGCCTGAAACCTGTCTGGGGGACTTTGGCCCAATCACTAGGAGACTGTGAGTTCTAGTCCTGCCTTAAGCCTGAAAGCTGGCTGAGTAACTTTGGCCCAATCACTAGGAGACTGTGAGTTCTAGTCCCGCCTTAAGCTTGGAAACTGTCTGGGTGACTTTGGCCAATCACCAAGAGACAATGGGCTGACTTTGGGCCAATCAATCTCTCTCTCTCCTCTCTCCTCCCTCCCTCTCTCTCTCTCCTCTCGGTCAACCCAGCCCACTTTGCAAGGTTGTTGTGGAGAAACGTAGGAGGAGGGAGTATTAGACCTGTTCACCATCTTCAGTTATTTATAAAAATAAGAAAGAAAAAAAAAAGACATTCAGAGCTGACAGAAATTCTGTTCGTTCGCTACCATTTGTGTAACAGAATTCGTGGCAACTGTTGGAGAGAGGAGCTGGGAGATCCACTGAAGGATTTCGGGGAGGGGGGGGCAGTCCTAGTTTTGGGGTTCCAAAGTGCTCGGGGCGAGGGGAGCAGAGCGGGTCAGAAAGAGGCGCCCTTAAGATTCAACTCCAACCTGTAATTTTGTAGACTAACATCAAGTTTAATTCCCGCTGGACCACGGACGAGCAGCTGCTGGCGGTGCAGGGTGAGTTTTCCGACTGGCCTCGGGAGAAGAGCAGGGGGGAGGAACAGGTGGGGGACCCCCTCCCCAGTAGGAGAAATAAGCACTGCTTATTTGCTCCCTGGGGGCACCAGGGCGCCTTTGTCCCGGGTTTGGATGGCGGACGCTGCCCCTTTCAACACCAGAGGCGGAAAGCCACGCTTTGCTGGCCGGGGCGGGGGCCCCCGTGGTGCCAGGCAGGGCGCCCCGTTCCCGACCGTGGCTTTTCTCCTCCCGCGCTCCCGAGGCAGCCATCCGGAAATACGGCAAGGACTTCCAAGCCATTGCCGAGGTGATCAGTAACAAGACGGTGGCGCAAGTGAAGACCTTCTTCGTCAGCTACCGCCGGCGCTTCAACCTGGAGGAGGTGCTGCAGGAGTGGGAGGCCGAACAGGAGGGCCTGGCTCCGGCCCCCCCGCAAGGCAGCTCGCCCCCCCGGGAGCAGAAGAGCGGCAGCGAGGAAGAGGACGAGGTGAAGGGGAAGGCTTTGGGGCACCGGGCACGATGGGGGTGCACGGCGGGGTGCTGATTTGGTCCCTTTGTTCCTTGCAGGTCCAGATCACCGCTGTATCGCGATCGGCGCAGCCGCCCCCTGCCCAGCCGCCGCAGCCTCCCCCCACGCTTCCCGCCTCCCCCCGGCCTCCCCCCGTCGCGCTCTCCCAGCCTCCCCCCTTGCTGAGGCCCACCCTGCCCACAGCACCCATGCTGCACCGCCAGCCGCCCCCCCTGCAACAAGGGCGCTTCCTCCAGCCCAGACTTTCCGTCAACCAGCTGCCGCCCCCACTCATCCGACCGGTGGGGTCCCGGCAGGCCCTGCCGCGGGGGTCCCAGCACCCCCCATCGCTGCTCAGTGGGACGGGAGACCCACCCCCTCTGCCCTCCTTGGGGTCCCTTTGAAGGGGGACCCCCTCTGCCCTGGCTGGTGGGGTCCAGCTCAGAACGGTACGAGCCGCTGGGAAGGAAAGAGGTGGGGTGGGCAGGAAGAAGAGGGGGGGTGCCTTTCCACTCCTGCCCTCCCCTCCATCTCTAGCTTTGGAAAGCTGACAGCCCTTGATTGGGGGGGGGGAATGCTGGAATTGGGGCGGGGGGGGGGCTTTGTGAGTTGACGAGAAAATAGTAGATGTAGCTTGGAATAGGACTGGACGAGTACGTTTCCACTGCTTGGGTGAAAAGAAGGGGGGGCGAGGATGAATTGAGGGGGGGAGGGAGAAAGGCGGCGAGGGGGGGGGGTGTCTGTCCAAGTTTGGGGAGGGAGAAGAGGCTGACTTGCTCCAGAACCCAGAAGTCCCTATTCCGAAGAACCGAGGACTTGGAATGTCTACAATCTACAAAGATGAGGAAGAAGAGGATCGGAGCCAGATCTGCTCTGTACTTACTCATCCTTCTCCTCCTCCAAACAGTGCCCGGGCATCCGAGGCCAGCTGTGGGTCACCTTAAGGGGAAGAACAGGACCACTTACACCCCCCCCCCCAATTTTCTGAGGACCTGCCCCCCCCATTTCCCTTTGGTCTTTTTAGAGTTCATGCAGCATTTTCAATAAAGATATTTTGGTACAAGCTTCGGGGTGGTGCTTGAATGGAAGAGGGACCGAGGGACCAGCCCCCCCCTCCACCTTGGCCAATCCACAGCTTGGGATATTTTCCAAGGAAGAGCCCCCCCCGCTCCCCATCATTTTGGAAAAACAGTCTTGGAGCACATGCTTTTTTATTTCTTTGGCTTTAATAAGAAACTAGCCAGAGTCTCCCAGAGATGCCACAGGGCGTTGGAACCGGAGCATAAAGGAGTGTCCCCCCCCCACACAGGAAAGGCTGCTGGTCCCGAGTCCTGGGGGGGCGTGGGGAGGGGGGGGTGCCCAGCTTCTGTCCCTTGTGTCTGTAATGGGAGCAAACGTGGAGCCAAAAACAGGAATCCGACGCTAAGTAGGTGCTTTCTGGAAAGTTTTAATCTAGAACCTGTAAAACTACATCAAACGGCAGCATCCTTAGAGAGAGAAAGGGGAGGGAGGGGAGAGGGGAGCTGACCCCCCCCTCCCCAAAGGGACATGATTTTCTTTCTTTTTTTTAAAAAAAAGGCAATGTTGTGATGAGAAATTAAACCAACAAAAAAAAATTATAACCACTCACAAAAACCGAGGTATCAGTACAGTTATATACAAACCAGGCATGTACGTACATACGTACTTGTGTGTGTGTGTGTGTGTTTGTGTTGGAGAAGGGGAAGGGACTGCACAGCCCCCTCCCCAGGACCAAAAATACATTCTCAAGAGGGGGAGGTGGGGGCAATGTGACAACGAAAAGATATCCAGAGAGCCAGGCCGAAGAGAAGGCAAGGGACTGCAACCAAGCCCAAGTCTGTCTGTCTCTTTTTTGTTGTTGTTGCTCTTGTGCTTTGGAAAGGGAAATAAAGATTTTTTTTGGGGGGGGGGGAAACAGGAGCCCCACACACACACTTTTTTTTCCAGCAGAAATCGACCCGAGCTCTCCAGAAAAGCCAGGGGCAGCGTACCTGTGAAACGGCGGGCCCAAAACTCTTCCACCCATCCTGAACATCCAAAGGCTTTTGTGAGAATCACCGGAGAAGAGCAGGGAGGGGTGAAAAGCCTTGCTGTGCCCCCCCCCAGCATACGTGCTGGGAAGGGGAGGAAGAGAAGGTGAAACCCCAGAATGGGGTTGTGCAGCATTCAAGACCGGAAACGAACCCCTTTGTGGACCCGGGGAGGGGTTCCATTATACGTTGTGTGTGTGTAAACCAAGTCTCTTAACGCCATGTCTGTATAAAGGGTGTGTGTGTGTGTGTGGAAACCAAGGAGTGATGGTCCGGGTTGCTGTGCGACCTCGGCAGCCCCCAACTCTCCCTCCGTTCAACCCCACCAGCAGCTCCCCAATTAGCAAGGAAAAATGTTGCACGGGGAAAGCAAAAAAAAAAAAAAAAAAAAAAAAACCTTGGGAGAATTGGGGGTCTTTGGGGAGTGTGTGTGTGTGTGTGCACACGTGTTTGTGTGTGGGGGGGTCATCTGCAGGGACCAGGCAGAGGGGGCGCCTCAGAGGCGTCCCTTGGCAAGAGGCACGTGGCTTCTAGTGCTGGCCGGTGGACACACGGACCCCCGCGCGCTGTGTCAATGCCCAGCCAGACCCTGGGCTCTCCGTTTCCCAACCGGCGGAAGGGGCCAGCTGCTGCCCCCCCACTCCATCCCAACAGCCTCCTGCCAGATGTGGTCTCCTCCGCTGACCCGGGCTGCCCACTCCGGTTTTGTGGGAAAGGATACCCCCACTCCTGCTCCGGAGGGGAGAGTCCCTGTTGCAGTTTGGTAAAAATGGTCAAACCCTGTCTCATTTACAAGAAGGAAAGGGGAGGGGGAGAGAGAGAGAGAGAGAAAGGGAAGGGGGAGGAAGAAGTGGAAAAAAAAAGGAAGAAAAAGTACCACGGTCGCCACGGAGACCAAAAGGGATGCTTCCTCAGCCCTTGGTACCCTCCCATTACTGTTGCCACGGAGACCAGCTAGGTGGCTGCCAACCACAATCCCAGGCACCCTGTCTCCATGGAGATGCATCAGTGGGGGGGGGGAGGGTGAGGAAGGGGGAGATGGAGAGGCGGCGGGGATACCCCACCTCCACCCCCTTGCCCTGCCCCCCCCACCTGCATGGCCCGGCACTGGCACCCGGGCCCCTCTCCAAGTGAAGTTGCGGCTCTCTTCCAGCTGAACACCCCCTCTTCCTCCTCTGTTGCGTGTGCAGGCCAGGCGCCCCACCCCCCCCCTTCTCCCGGGGTGGCCGTTAAAGCTTGAGTTCGTTGGCGATTTTGGAGGCAATGTTCTTGAAGGCCATGGAAGTGCCGGATATCCGCTTGAAGCGGACGCCGTTGAGCGAGAGGCGGGGCAGTTTGCAAACTTCCATCTCCCACTGCACGAAGGCCTCGTGGCCGGGCGCCCCGTGCATGCACAGGAGCATGTACTTCTCCTGCAATTCGCACTGGCAACTGTTCGCATCCAGCACCTTCCGGATCTCCTTCATCATCTCGTTGGGCTCCATGGAGCTGGTGGTCTTCATGCTCCAGGTGAAGCGCAGCGATCGCGGCTTGGCCTCCCGGTTCTCGTCCCGGTCTTTCTCCCCGCTGCCGCCCATCATGTGAGGCCTGCGGGGGGAGGGAGGAGAAAGGGAAAAGGTGAGGAGGAGGTCCCCCCACCCCTCTGGCTGGCACCACCACGCTGCTCAGCCTGATCCGTGATCCAGAAGAGCTGGAGGATGGGGGAGGATGGAAAGAGAAAGAAATGGAGGAGGAGGAACTGTGGGGTTCTTGGTTCTGTCTGAGCCTGGTTGTTTTCTTGCAGACATTTCGTGAACCAACTAGGTATCATCATCAGTGCTAAAAGGGAGTGGGGTTTGTGAGGAGGAGGAGGAGGAACTGTGGGGTTCTTGGTTCTGTCTGAGCCTGGTTGTTTTCTTGCAGACATTTCGTGAACCAACTAGGTATCATCATCAGTGCTAAAAGGGAGTGGGGTTTGTGAGGAGGAGGAGGAGGAACTGTGGGGTTCTTGGTTCTGTCTGAGCCTGGTTGTTTTCTTGCAGACATTTCGTGAACCAACTAGGTAACATCATCAGTGCTGTAAGGGAGGGATGTTTGAGGAGGAGGAGGAGGAGGAGGAGCAACTGTAGGGTCCTTGGTGTTCTCTGAGCTTGGCTGTTTTCTTGCCGACATCTCATTACCCAACTAGGTAACCTCATCAGTGCTAGAAGGGAGTGGGGTTTGCGAAGAGGAGGAGGAAGAGAAAGAGAAAGAAAGAGATCAGGGAAACGAAGAGGATGGAGGTAGGTGCCAAGGAGCAGCCTGGCCCTGCTGGAGAAACAGACCGCGGGGACCACGGGTGGGAAGCCCCTCCCCGCCCTGGCTGAGTCTCACCTGAGCGTCTCCACGCGGTCTTTGCTTTCGGGCTCATGCAGGTTCCTCAAAAAACAGAGCAGGAGACAAGCCATCAGCACCCTCCAGTTAGCCCTTCCTGCCCCTGGTTTTTGTTTTCTTTCCCCCCCAAGCCATGGGGAGGGGGGCATTCGAAGGTGGAAGGGGGGGCTAAGGTGTGGCGGGGCCCCAGGCAGAGCAGGCAACCCCTCTCGGTTCTTGCTCGGCATGCTGGGATCAGCCAAAGCAGCCTTTGGGGGGTGGGAAAAAGCTACACAATCAGCCTTGGGTTCTTTGTTTGTCTGGGCACAAGCACCGTTTCTCTAATCCTTCCCCAAGAACAGAAGCCACGGACAAGCAAGGAAGAAAGGAGGAAGAGGAGGAGATGGAGCTATGTGGAGCAGGGGAACCGGCTGAGCCACAGAAGGAGGGGACTCCTGGCTGAGGAATTCTGGGACTTGAAGTCCAGAAGTCATCAAAGGGCCAAGTTGGAAGACCCCTGCCCTACATATTACTCTCGCGAGGCACTCTCCTGTGCAAAAGGTAAAGCGAGACAACGCAAGAGTGCTTTGGTAGTTGCTTGTAGCGTGAGACTCTACCTGCCAGGACAATGAATGATTTAAGTCCTGTCACAGCCAGCCAATTTATCCCAGCAGAGATGCAGGTTGAGGAGGGGAGGAAGGCTATCTTGTAAACCCCCTCCCCCCTTTTTTTGTTTGGAATACATACATGCACTCTGTTCTGCCCCAACTGAATGTCTCTGCGTCAATTTTATAGGTCAACCCTGTTGCTGTACCAGGTTGCGATGCTGAAGGTTGAATAAACCAGGCAATTTTGTTTTTTTTTCTGTCAGTAAGCAGACACTGCTCCAGCAAAGGCTGGGTGTTTGAAGAACACCCAGTGGATGAAGCTGCCCTGATTCCATTTTTCAGACACGACTCTGTAGCGCAGACGGCTGAAAAACTGACAGCGTAATTTCCTCCGTCATCTGAGAGAGGAAACTTATGGAAACGACAGCGGGAGACCTAATTTATGTACGGTGCACTATACAGGCAGTCCTCGACTTACAAGGGTTCGCTTAGTGACCGCTCAAAGTTACAAAGTTACAGCACTGAAAAAGTGACTTATGACCGTTTTTCACACTTATGACCGTTGCAGCATCCCCCAGGGTCAGGTGATCAAAATTCAGACACTTGGCAACTGATTCATATTTATGATGGTCGCAGCATCCCGGGGGGGGGGCAATGATCCCCTGTTGCGACCTTCGGACAAAGTCAAGGGGGGGAGCCAGATTCACTTAACAACCGGGTTACTAATTTAGCAATTGCAATTTATTCACTTAACGACAGTGGCAAGTGAGGCTGTAAAATAGGGCTCACTTAACAAAGGTCTCACGTAGCAACAGAAAGTTTGGGCTCAATTGTGGCCGTAACCCTAACCCTATACAGCCCCCAAAGTTTCCCCAGATTTCTTTATTTTTATCCCAGCTTTATGACTGTTTACTGGAGTTGGTGAACATACCTAATCCTTCCTTCTCCTATCTTCCTCACAACAACAACCCTGTGAGGTGGGTAAGGCAGAGAGAGAGAGAGAGAGAGAGAGAGAGAGAGAGATGGAGGGAGAGAGAGAAGGAGAAAGATGGGGGGCAGAGAGAGAGATGGAGGGAGGGAGGGAGAGAGAGGAGAAAGATGGGGGCAGAGAGAGAGAGATGGAGGGAGAGAGAGAAGGAGAAAGATGGGGGGCAGAGAGAGAGAGAGAGAGGGAGGGGGAGAGAGAGGAGAAAGATGGGGGCAGAGAGAGAGATGAGGGAGGGAGAGAGAGGGAAAGATGGGGGGCAGAGGAGAGGAGAGAGAGAGAGGGAGGGAGAGAGAGAAGGAGAAAGATGGGGGGCAGAGAGAGAGAGAGAGAGGGAGGGAGGGAGAGAGATGGAGGGAGGGAGGGAGGGAGAGAGAGGAGAAAGATGGGGGGCAGAGAGAGAGAGAGAGAGAGAGAGGGAGGGAGAGAGAGGGAGGGAGGGAGAGAGAGGAGAAAGATGGGGGGCAGAGGGAGAGAGAGAGAGAGAGAGGGAGGGAGAGAGAGGGAGGGAGGGAGAGAGAGGAGAAAGATGGGGGGCAGAGGGAGAGAGAGAGAGAGAGGGAGGGAGAGAGAGAAGGAGAAAGACGGGGGGCAGAGGGAGGGAGAGAGATTGAGAGACTGGCCCAAAGTCACCCGGCTGGTTCTTCATGTCTACGGCATAAACTAGAACTCACAATTGCTCGATTCCTTAACCACTAGGCTCTCATAAATTTATCTTTTGTGATCTCCTTGTTCTTCCCCCCCCTTCACGGGAAACCTGCCCTATGGCTAGCATCTTCCGATGTGGGTGCAACTCACCCACCCCCCCCCCGGCCCTCAATTTTCATCCCCGAGGAGGGCCATGCAGTTCTCCGTTCACCCTCAAGCTGCGCCTGCACCTTCCAGGCAGCATCCAGCCCGAGAGCTACAGGAGAGCCCAGCTCCTCCTAACAGCCACCATGCGGGGGAGAAAAAAGGAGGACTGGAGTGGGGAAGGAGTGAGGGGAGATTCTGGTTAGAAAGAGCAGAGGCCCAGCCAAGGCAAACCACAAAGATGGAGGTCACCTTTAAAGAGACAGCATCGTTCTCTCAATCCCGGGCCGACCAACGTTTTTGGCGACCCGGATGGGACGGAGTGGAAACAGCCCCTCCCCACATCCCGGTGGGCTTCCCTTCCTGCAGGCCGAGAGCTAATGAGACCCCAACTGTCCCTTGAAGGGTGCCCTCTACATTCACACACAGCCGCCCTTGGCCACCACAGGTTGGGAGGGGGAGAGGGAGAAAGAGAAAGAGAAAGAGAGAGAGAGCGCGAGAAGCTAGCAAGGAGGGAGGTGAGTGTTGCACAAGAGGAAGAAGGAGAAGAGGAGGAGGAGGAAGAAAGAGAACAAATTCCAGAGTGATGCACGCCTACCTTTTGGCAAACCTGAAAGACAGATTTCTAGAAGGGGAGGGGGTAAACAGGGGAGGGGGGGGGAGGAAAAAAAACACGGTGGTGGGTGGATGAGCAAGCGTGAAAGTGTGAAATGAACAAGCCGTGGGTCCCGGAATAGGCCGGCCTCCCCATCTTCCCTCCCCAGGTTGGAGGGGGAGGGGGTGAATTTGGGGAAAGGGAAGCTGCCGCCCCCCCACTTTTTTCGTTCCTTCCGTCCAAAGCAGGAAGATGAACAGCCTCCCTCTGCCCCAAAACTGGGACTGTCTGGGGCTGGCTGGGTGGGGGCTCCCCCAAAGCCCTGATCACCTCTTGGAAAGGGAGTGGGGAACCCAGGGTTGCTGGGGTCACCCCCCTCCTCTCTCCCACCCCACAGCCCCCTCTGGCTGGAAGCTGCCCGGAAAAGGACCTGCAGAAGGACAGGCTGGGTTGGGGGGGGGGCAGGAAAGGAGGTAAAACACACAGCAAAAGAAAATGGGGGGGGGGCTGGAGACAGGAGGCGCTGGACTGCACAGAGTGACTGCACAGAGTGACTCTCCCCCCTTCCTTCCCAAACACCCTCCCTCCCTCTTGGAAGAAAAAGAAGCAAGGTTTACAAAACAGCGTCTTAGATTCACATATACACACACACGCTCGAGGTTGCGGTTTTGGGCTCGCTAGGCTGCCCTGCCTGGACCCTCCAACAGGATCAGGGCCTGCCAGCCTGGGTTGCCTTCAGCCCTGCTTGCAAGGCCGGAGGGTGGAAAGTGGTGGGATTGGGAAGCTGGATGCCTGTGAGCTGAATCCCCCCCCCCCAAACCCGCAAAAGTCAAATCTAGACTGTGTGTGTTTCAACTGATTCCGGGCCTTCCGTCAATACTGAACAAGCGACCTCCGTGGGCGCTTTGAGAGGGGTGGACTTCCAACTCCCAGAATTCCCCAGCGGGCAGAGCGGAGATCAGAAGCAGCAGAAGAGAGCGGAGCGGGCAGAGGAATTCTGGGAGTTGAAGTCCACCCCTCTTAAAAGGGCCCAAGGTTGAGACACCCTGGGCTGTCTTAGCTAACGTGGCAGGTGGGCAGCGAGGACTGGGGTACCCCACCCCCACATTGAAGGAGGGGTGGGGAACTTGGACTTGAACTTCGCTGCATGCTGAGATCCGGGAACTAACTGCAGCCTTTGGGGCGATGGGCATGCTGAAGTGCAGTTCCCCGGAAGAACCAAAGGCATCGGACAGCCGTTTGTCTAAACCAGGGGGCTTCAAACTTGGCCCTTTGATGACTTGTGGACTTCAACTCCCAGCATGCCTGGCTGAGGAATTCTGGGAGTTGAAGTCCACAAGTCATCAAAGGGCCAAGTTGGAAGACTGAGTAGGCGGGCTGGACTAGAAGATCTTGCAAGGTCCCTTCCAGTTCTTACTGCAGGGCCCTGTTCTCAAGAGCCATCCCACCCGCCTGGTCCTGGCCTCTGCAGTGGCAATTATGGCTAAGCCATCTTGAATGATGGCTTGTCACTCTCCAACTGAGTTACTCCAAAGAAAATCTCCTGTTTTGGGGGGGGGAGAGGGGGGGAAATCCCTTGGCTGTCCTTGCATCCCAGGCCTACTTGGGGATGGGGTTGGCTGGCCTTCCAAGAGAGAGCTTGTGCCCCCACCCGGTGGAGGTCTGGGAGGGGGGCATTTGAAAGCTGGGTAGGCTCATTCCCCCTCCCCCAATAGCTTGGATTCCTGGCCTCACCTGGCCAATGTGATTCGAGTGTGGACAGATGGCAGACGATGGGCTGCGGGGTGCTGTGGCATCGTGGTGGGGGCTCTGGGAGGGAGGGAGAGGGGAAAGGGGAGAGGGAGGGGCAGCGGGGTCCGACACACACAAGAATCAGCCAGCATGCGCCCCTCGGAGCCACCGAATAGGGGGACAGAAACAGGGGAGGGCTGTCCCCCGTCTCACCCCCGTCCTGCCCTCCCCTCCATGCAGCCACGCCACCCAGGATGGCACTGGGACTCCCCCCCCCACTTCGGTGCCCACCCCCTTTCCCCGGCTCACCTGCGTACGAACTTGGAGGTGAACTTGCTGAAGAGGCTCCCGGAAGCCCCCCTGCGTCCCTGGCTGTTGCCGGAAGGCGAGGCGGGCGTGAGGCCGTAGGAGAGATTTTGCTGGTCCCGGACCGGCCGGAGCTGCCCGGCGTGGAAGGTGCTGCGGCTCTGGATGCCTCGGGGGAAGTTGGTGCGCTCGGGGAGGGCGCTGCTGATGTTGTGGGCGGAGGGGGAGGCCACGGGAGCCCGCTGGGGGGCCGTGCTGTGAGGGAGGAGGAGAGGAAGGTCACCAAAGGGGGCCGGGCTGAGGGACCCTCCAGGCGGGGGGGGGGGAAGCCACGCCCTCTTAAGAGTCTGAGGGCACCGATTTGAGGAAGGGAGCCCTGGAACCATGTTGCCCCCTACCAGACTTTGTGCTCTGACGCTCTTCGGAAAAGCCCACCGATTCAGGATAGACTTTCGCAAAGCCAGATTCCAGGCTTAAGGGGAGGTGAGAATCCAGGGCCAGTTTTTCCCAAGTCTGCTGGCAGGTAGGAATGAGCATCGGGGTAGAAGCGGAAGGCAGCCCCGCCGAAGAACGAGGGCTGCCTTCCGCAGCTGCTGTGTTCAAGGAAGGAGGGGAGATCCCCTAAAGAGAATGGGGAACCCGCCCCTCTTGAGCAACATTCTGGCTCCCTTACGACTCTGCCTGAGGTTGCGTGGCACCCAGAACAGGGCTACCTCTGGGGGTCCCCCTTCCAGGTTTCAGGAGAGAACCCCCAAAGCTCCCAGTTGTTTTGCTCCGATCCCCTCTAGGGCAGCCCCTGTGTGAGGGTCCTGGCTCTGGGGCCAGGCCGCGAGGCAGAACAAGTTGAGAGGAGGCTGGAGAGAGCTGGAGGGCGGGAAGAAGGTAGGAAGGGAGAGGGGGAAGGGAGGAAGGAAGGAAGGAAGAAAAGAAGAAGGGCGAGGGAGGGAAGAAGGAAGGAAAGGAAGATTGGAGGGAGGGAGGAAGGAAGGAAGATGAGAATGCGAAGAAGGAAGGAAGGAAAATTGGAGGGAGGGAGGAAGGAAGGAAAGAAGGAAGGAGAGAGATGAGAATGCAAAGAAGGACGGAAGGAAGGAAGGAAGGAAGGAAGGAAGGAAGGAAGGAAGGAAGGAAGGAAGGAAGGAAGGAAGGAAGGAAAGGAAGGAAGGAAGGAAAGGAAGGAAGACTCCAGGCACACGCAGCTGCCCACTTGCCTAGGTCGCTGGGCCTCGCAGTGATTATCGGTGGGGGGCAGGGTGGGCCTGGAGGGGTGCACCGAGGCTGACATGGATTTCTGGTGCTGGCGCGGGCGCGCGGAGCTCACGGCGGCGGAAGCGGAGGCGGTAGAGGCCCTGGAGCCCGGAGTGGTTAGGCTGGGGGGGAGGTGGAGAAAAAAAAAATCAAGCCGGGGAGAAGCCGAAGTCCAAACCAAGGAAAGGGTAGGGTTAAAAAAAGGGGGGGAAACGGGGTGAAGCGGGCCGGTGGGTGATATCTGCAGCGCCCCCCCCCCAGATTCTCTGAGGATGCAGATGGTAGTCTTGGGGGCTACGCCCAACTGCTCCTCTGCCCAGTCCCCAAAAGGCACCTTTGCCTTCCTTTCCTTATCTTCCCTTCGTCTATCTTCCTTTCCTTTCCTTTTTCTATCTTCCTTTCCTTTGTCTATCTTCCTTTTCTTATCTTACCTTTCCCTCTTTTGTCTTCCTTTCCTTCCCTCTGTCTATCTTCCTTTCCTTTCTTTTCCTTCATCTATCTTCCTTTCCTTCTTTCCCTCCCTTCATCTATCTTCCTTTCCTTTCTTTTCCTTCATCTATCTTTCTTTCCTTCTTCTATCTTCCTTTCCTTTCCTTCTTTCCTTTCATCTATCTTCCTTTCTTTTCCTTCATCTATCTTCCTTTCCTTCTTCTATCTTCTTTCCCTTCCCTTCTTCTATCTTCCTTTCTTTTCCTTCGTCTTATCTTCCTTTCCTTTCTTTTCCTATCTTCCTTTCCTTTCCTTTCATCTTCCTCCCAATCTTCTTTTCTTCCCTCCTTCTCAACCTATCCCTTGCTTCATCAGCTAAACAGGGCAACGTGTGTGTGTGTGTGTGTGTGTGTGTGTGTGTGTGCCCTCAATCAACCGTGCCACGCCACAGACAGAGCCACCAGCAGGTCCACAGGCATTCTGGGGAAAGCAAATATACAATACACAACCCAGTATATTTGTATAGGAGTCAAGCACACACACCCCCCCCCAGACGCAACAGGGGGAGATGGATGCGAATGGAGGCTCTCCAGATGGGGGGAGGGACAGGGGGGAGGGGGAGAAACAAGGGCGATGAGGGATGGGTGCATGACTGTTAGAGGCTTTGAAGGAGCCAGGGGGGTGGGTCCAAAGACAGAGGCATGAAAGCATGTGTGTGTGAATGTGTGCACGTCATAGGATGAGGCCTGCTCCTTGCTAATTAAGAAAACGGGTTCTGAGAATGTGGGAAAGGGTTCTTGGAAAGGAATTCTGGGTAGAGAAGGAACAGACCTCTCCATTCTCTCCTCCCTCGCTCAACCCCCCCCCACCCCATCAGTCCAGGGGATAGCATCAATGGATGCTCTGAAGCTAAGCGCAGGGGAGGGGGGGGAAGAGACTGGGGGGGGGAGGGAAGGTGTGGGTCTTTTGAGCAACCCAAGAGATATACTTTCTGCAGGTGTCATTCCTGCCTGGGGGGGGGGGGGGGCTGGCTTGATTCAGGCCACGAATTGGATTTTTAAACAGGGCGGCTTATATCCAACTCGTTTGAAAAGTGGTTGCAGGAGGGTGTGTGTGTGTGCGTGTGTGTGTGCGGAGGGAAACTGTACCACTTTAAATGAGAATTAAAAAAATATTTTTTTTTAAACTGTCTTGTTTCCCTCCTCCAGGCATGCATTAGCCTGGGAGGGGGGCAAACACGCCACTTTACGACCTGCGGACTTCAACTCCCAGAATTCCTCAGCCAGCGTGGAATTCTGGGAGTTGAAATCCGCAGGGCGTAAAGCTGCCCTAGTCACCCACCCCTTATACATTAGCCTAATCCAGGGGTCTTCCAACGTGGCCCTTTAATGACTTGTGGACGTCAACTCCCAGAATTCCTTAGCCAGGCACGCTGGCTGAGGAATTCTGGGAGTTGATGTCCACAAGTCACCAAAGGGCCAAGTTGGAAGATCCCTGTTTTAGAGGGTCATTGAGGCCACTTGGAGGTTTCAAACGTGGCCCTTTGACGACTGGTGGACTTCAACTCCCAGAATTCCTCAGCCAGCATGGAGGAACGATGGCCCCTTCATGGGCTGTGGACTTCAACTCCCAGAATTCCTCATGCCTGGCTGAGGAATTCTGGGAGTTGAAGTCCACAAGTCATAAAAGGGCCCAGTTTGAAGACCCCTGAGTCAATCTTAAAAGGTTGCTGAGCTTGGAGACCCCCCCCCCCGCTTTAAAGAAAGACTTTTGTTCTTGGGCGAGGTCCCTCCTCCTTACCTATCTTTGCCGTTCTGTATGGAGTTCTGGCCCAAGCTGGCACGGTCCAGCATGGGGGAATTGCGGCTTCGGTTTGTGGTGGTGGAGAGGACACTGTTCTGCAAAGGAGGAGAAACGCCAACGCCAAGTGAGGGAGGGGCGCTGGGGCAGAAGGGTCTGGGGGGGGGAGAGACCCTAGCAACAGGTTTCTAATGTTTCTGCAGGACGGGGCGGGGTGGGGTAGGCAGAAAGAGGGCAGGCTGCCTCCCCCACCTCCAGAAAGAGCCTCTAAAAAACAGGTCCGCTAATAAGCAGTCCTCAACTTACAGCCATTCCTTTAGCAACTGTTCAAAGTTACAACGGCACCGGAACAAAATGGACTTAGGACCGGTTTTTCGCTCTTACGACCATTGGCGGCATTCCCACGGTTACGGGGATCAAAATTCAGGCGGTTGGCTCGTATTTATGACGGTGGCAGGGGCCTGGGACACTGACCGTGGAGGGCATAGGGGTGCTTTTTTTCCTCTCCAGGCTAGGCAAGGGGCTGGCGGGCACTTTGACGGTGCTCCCGGTCTTGCTGCGCCCGGCCTCCCTCTCCTCTTCGGGCCTCTTGTTCTCAGCGTTGGCAGCCTGCGTTTTCTTGGAGTAAGACGTGGAGGTTGGGATGGTGGGTACTGTGGGGAGATGGAAACAAATATATGTTTTCTGAGGTTTTCACGGGTGTTTGTATGTAGGTCTTTGGTTATTTGGGTTTTCTCCCGCGTCAAATTGGAAGTGTCTTGGCAACGTTTCGACGAAGTCTCATTCGTCATCTTCAGGCTGGTGTTTTCAGCTTCATGCTTCTAGAAGCACGAAGCCGAAAACACCAGCCTGAAGATGACGAATGAGACTTCGTCGAAACGTCGCCAAGACACTTCCAATTTGACGCGGGAGAAAAGTCACCAGCTGGCTTTCATGCCTAAGGCGGGACTAGAACTCACCGTCTCCTGGCGATTGGCCCTAAGTCACCCATCCAACTTTCATGCCTAAGGCGGGACTAGAACTCACCGTCTCCTGGCGATTGGCCCAAAGTCACCCAGACGTCTTTCATGCCCAAGAACCCTCAAACTCACCACCTCTGGTTTCTAGGCCACCCCATTCACCCGAACAACCAAGCCAGCTGCCTATAATGCTGTGAGATGGCAAGTTCGAGTCCCAACTTAGGCATGAAACAGCTGGGCGACTTGGGGGGCAATCGCCAGGAGAGGGTGAGTTCTAGTCCCTCCTTGGGTACAAAAAGATGGCTGGGTGACTTTGGGCCAATCACCAGAGGACTGTGAGTCCTAGTCCCGCCTTAGGCATGATAGCCAGCTGGGCGACTTTGGGCCAATCACCAGGGGACTGTGGGTTCTAGTCCCGCCTTAGGCATGATAGCCAACTGGGTGACTTTGGGCCAATCACCAGGGGACTGTGGGTTCTAGTCCCGCCTTAGGCACAAAAGAGAGTTATCTTCGTCCCCTTGAGTTATTTATACAAATGATAAAGGTGGGATCGTCAATAAATAAAACAAAATCCCTTTATGAGAATCCCAGCCTCCCTGGTTTGCCCAAGAGGATGGAGGAGGAGGAGATAGGAGAGGAAGATGCTCACCCTGGTCACTTAAGCGGCGTTGCTTGGGGTTGGCCGAGACGCTGCGCTGCACCTTGTGCGAAGGGGAGGGAACCGTGCTGTTGGCGAGCTCAGGCTGGGGACGAGGTTTCAGGGTAATGCTATCGTTGTCGAGCTGGAAAAAGCAGGAAAAAAGGAATCAGGAAAGGCCCCGGACCCCCACGGAGGCCTTTGCTCCCAGCCCATCAGGCGGATCCTTAGATGCCGGCTCCAGAAAAGCAAAAAGGTTTTTTTTTCCCCCTTTCCTACAACCGTTCTTAGTAATGTTTTATCCTCCAGCCCCCTAATCGTCTTCGCTGCTCTTCCCTGGACTCTTTCCAGAGTCTCGGCGTCAAAAGCTGGCTTAAGAGGAGAAAAGCCACACGTGCTTCAGGGCTGCACACCGGCCCTGCGGGGCTGCCGTTCCGAAGTTCAACGCACCCGGCCACCACCACCCCTCGCACTCACCTCTGAGTTTTTTTTTTTTAATTGAAAATTTTTAAATTTTACAAAACAAATCCCCTCCCCAAACCCCCCCCTCCCATACCCTCCCCCAGCTCCCCAAACCTCCCTAACCCTCCCCTGGACCTCCCAGAGTTGATTACAGGCTTGTCCTAAATGTTTCCAAAAAAAAAGAAAAAAAAGAAAAACTTAAAACACATATAAATCCTGAACAAGTTTAATTAAATTAGATAAATTATCTTCTCTAAAAAAATAATAATTGGAATCATTAAACACATTATAATATATTCTAAACATCTTCTAATCATACTTATAATATTATCCATCATTCTATATAAATTCCTTCCAAAACACAATTTTAAACACTACTTTCTTTGAACATCTATACCTACAATATAAAATCTAATATGAATAAACAAATCTGAATACGTTTAGTTAAACAAGTTATACTCCCTCCAAAACACTCACCTCTGAGTTTTTATAACCTAGCAACAGATACGTCGCCATCACTTCATTATACTTCTGGCTGACTAAGGACTCTTGAATTTCTTCCCGGGTGTAGCCCATAGAAATCATGAGTTCTGAGGAGGAAGGAGAAGGAGGAGAGGAAGAGGAGGAAAAGAGTCACCATCCACTCGTAGGAAAGACAACCCCCCCCCAGCTGCTCAGAATGTGGAACGTCCCACCTGGCCATCAAATGGGGATGGTCTCTAGCCCAGGGGTCTTCAAACGTGGCAACGTGAAGACCTGTGGACTTCAACTCCCAGAATTCCTGGGCTGGCTGAGGAATTCTGGGAGTTGAAGTCCACAAGTCTCAAAGTTGCCAAGTTTGAACGCTGGCTGAGGAATTCTGGGAGTTGAAGTCCACAAGTCTCAAAGTTGCCAAGTTTGAACGCTGGCTGAGGAATTCTGGGAGTTGAAGTCCACCCGCCTTCAAGTCGCCAAGTGTTTGAGGACCCCTGCTCCAGCCCGTCAGCCCTTCCTAACTGTTGTACCTGTCCGCCGAGGGTCCTTGTAGTCTGGCAGAGGTTCCACATAAGGCTTCAACTCATCGTCCTCGTGACCCACATTCATCCAGCGGTCTTTCATGATTTGCTAAGGGGGAAGGAGAGGCAGGCATTAGAACCCCACAGAGAGGATGGTTTTCCTGCAGGCGTTTCATTACCCAACTAGGTAACGTCATCAGTGCTGGAAGGGAGAGGAGCTGCTCTCCGTTGAAATACAAGTAAGTTGCTTGTAGGTCAGTGGTTCTCAACCTGTGGGTCGGGACCCATTTGGGGTCGAATGACCATTTCATGGGGGTCACCAAACAAGGCTGTCCGCCATTTTTTCCCCCTTTTCTTTGGCCATGCCCCTGGCACCCAGTGGTGTATAAGTGGTTGGGGGTCACCAAAACATGGGGAACTGTATTATGGGGTCGCGGCATTAGAAAGGTTGAGAACCACTGTTGTAGGTGAACAACCCAGCTCGAGAAAACAAAAGAACGGGACCAAAGAACCAAGTTGGAAGGTATCTTGAAGGTCTTCTACTCCACAAGGAGAGACCTGATACTACTCCAGACAGTTTCTCTGAAGTAAGCAAACTCAGAGAGCACCAAAGATGCCTCCTCCTCCTCCTCCCCCCCCCCTTGGCAAGCCCCACTCCAGGCTGCTTGACCACAAAATCAACTCTACTAACAATAGGAAAGAGACGGCAATTTCCCCAAGGACATGGTCTCAGCAGCCTCACTCCCGTTTTCCAGGAAAACTGGGGGAGTCTTTGGTAATATCCCCCCCCCCAAATCCACCCATAGAAAAGCTGGCTGGCCAGCTGCTTCTTTCCTTTCCACTTTCAAATCCACCTGAAAACTGTTCACCCTGGAGAAACAGAATGATTGCTCGTGGTCAGCAAGCGGCCAATGTAAAACAGCCTCCCTGTTGGGAAAGCTTACGCAGGCGGCCGAAGGGGCTTGGAAAATTACCTCCGTCACGCAGAGAAGTAATTTGGGCCCTTCAAGCCAGACAAAGAGGGCGGTGGAGGACAGAGAAAGGACTGGGGCCTTCGCTGAACCAGCAAAGGGGTTTAAAAAATAAAAAATAAGTCCCATAATAACAATAAGAAACGTTTTTTTTTTTTTTTTTGCCAGGCAAAAACGCTCTGAAAATGGAGACGCTCCTTAAAAATCACCATGGTTGCTTAGCACATTAGGCTAAGCCAGAATAAACCAGGCTAAAACCATTTTGGTCGCCCCAATGTAAAAAAGAAGCTGAGACTCTGGAAAGAGTGCAGAGAAGAGCAACAAAGAGGATCAGGGGGCTGGAGGCTAAAACATATGAAGAGTCGGGGATGTCTAGTTTAATGAAGAGAAGGACCAGGGGGGACAGGATAGAAGGGCTCCAAAATTTAAGGGGCTGCCACGAAGAAAAGGGGGTCCACCTCTTCTCCAAAGCACCAGAAGGCAGGACAAGAAGCAACGGGTGGAAACTGATCAAGGAGAGAAGCAACCTAGAAGGAGAAATTTCCTGGCGGTGGGAACAATGAATCAGTGGGACAGCTTGTCACCAGAAGTTATGGATGCTTCAACACTGGAAGTTTTTAAGAAGAGATTGAACACCCATTTGCGTGAAATGGTATAGGGCAGGGGTAGGCAACCTTGGCTCTGTTATGACTCGTGGACTTCAACTCCCAGAATTCCTAAGCCAGCCATGCTGAGGGGAAAGGGAGAGGTTTCCAAGCTGAGCCAGGCTGGCTCAGGAATTCTGGGAGTTGAAGTCCACGAGTCATGAAGGGGCCAAAGTTTCCCTCATGCTGGCTCAGGAATTCTGGGAGTTGAAGTCCACGAGTCATGAAGGGGCCAAAGTTTCCCTCATGCTGGCTCAGGAATTCTGGGAGTTGAAGTCCACGAGTCTTAAAAGAGCCAAGGTGGCCTACCCCTGGTATAGGGTTTCCTGCCTGAGCAGGGGGTTGGATTGGATGACCTCCAAGGTCCCTTCTACCTCTGTTATTCTGTTACACTGTTCAGTTAACTGGCTATGTTTACCCAGGATGAACAACAAGCTATTGTTGATCAACCACTACAGCTGGACCTCTGGGTTATTCCCAATCACCGTGTGGTTTTTAAAAAACGATGCTCTCCAGAGTGCTTTAAAAGGGTAACAAAAGAAAAAAAACGGAGCCTCAGAGCAAAATCTATCTGCAAAAGGCTGCATCAGAGCAAGAACATGAGTTCCCGTGGCTTTCTGCGAAGACATATGCTGAATTAACAACCCCCCCTTTCCATTTTCTGTCTTTTCTGAAGTGTGAAAACGCCTTTTCTGATCCTGAAATCAACAGCTCTTTGCAGCCGTGGTGGATCGCCCCTTGTAACAAAGGGAGAAGCCGGCGTCTGTTTGTCAAACCGCCAGTTACGAAATTAAATTTTTGCAAGATCACGACAGACTTGTGATTAACGACGCGTGGCGCCAAGATCGATGCATCCTGGTGAAATGAGCGAGCCATCCGGCAATGGGGGGAGCTTTTGACTTCTGGCCCGGGACTCTGGGCCAGGATAGGCAGTCCTCGGCTTACGACCACAATGGAGCCCAAAATTTATGTTGCTAAATGAGACGGTTGCCAAGCGACTTTTTGCCCCGCTGTACGACCCTTCTTGCCACCGTTACTAAGCAAATCACTGCAGCTGTTCATTTAGGAACCTGGTTGTTATGGGAATCCGTCTTCCCCCATTGCCAAAAGGGGATCACGGGACTTTGGGAGACCCTGAAACCGTCATAAAGGTGGAAGGAGAGGAGAGGATGGATTTTTGCCCAGAGGAGACCATCCAAGGCCATGGCAACAGTGGAAAGGCTGTGCTTCCCACTGGTGAATGCTCAAGATTAATAATAATCATCATAATAAAGTTGGAAAGGACCTTGGAGGTCATCTAGTCCAACCCCCTGCTCAGGCAGGAAACCCTATACCATTTCGGACAAATGGCTGTCCAGTCTTTTCTTAAAAACTTCCAGTGTTGGAGCATTCACCGCTTCTGGAGGCAGGTGGTTCCACTGGTTAATTCTTCTCACGGTCAGGAAGTTTCTCCTTAGTTCTAGGTTGCTTCTCTCCTTGATTAGTTTCTACCCGTTGCTTCTTGTCCTGCCTTCAGGTGCTTTGGAGAATAGCTTGACTCCCTCTTCTTTGGGGCAGCTCCTGAGAGATTGCAACACTGCTATCATGTCCCCCCTCATCCTTCTCTTCGTTAAACTAGACATACCCAATTCCAGCAGCCGTTCCTTGTGTGTTTTAGCCTCCAGTCCCCTGATCATCTTTGCTGCTCTTCTCTGTACTCTTTCTAGAGTCTCAGCATCTTTTTTACATCGCGGTGACCAAAACTGGATGCCATATTCCAAGTGTGGCCTTACCAAGGCCTTGTAAAGTGGTATTAACACTTCGCGAGATCCTGATTCTATCCCTCTGTTAATGCAGCCTAGGACTGCATTGGCTTTTTTGGCAGCTGCAGCACATGGCTGGCTCCTATTTAAGGGATCGTCCACTAGGACTCCGAGATCGCTCTCACATTTACTATTTATACTATACCTGTACCACTTATACTATACCTGTACATTTTGGTTTTTCTTGCCTAAATGTAGAACTTTAGAAAAGAAGAAGGGACTGGACAGCCATTTGTCTGAAATGGTACAGGGTTTCCTGCCTGAGCAGGGGGTCAGGCTAGATGACCTCCAAGGCCCCTTCCAACTTTATGACTATTGTTATTAGATTAATCCTGCGCTTCTCCAAAGCCAACTTTGCTTAACTGCAACAACACCACCTCGAGAACAGCAGGCCGGTGACGAAACGGTCAATCTTGGGCCACGCCACAATCTGGACAATTTGTTGACGAATTTTGGCCGTGCCGTTCCACGTGGCCTGAGATTGGTATTTAGCCTGGGAGCTGCTCACTTTGGGGATTAAAAAAAAAAAAAAAAAAAATACCAGAAGGGGTTCACACACAGGGTTTGACAGCATTAACTCACCGCCTGTGTTCACACAATGCACGGAGCCACGATTCACCAAACAGGCTGACTTCATAAGCTCTGAAGTCCCAGAAAGATTAGCCAAGGTTAACACCACCAACCACTGACCCGGTCATCTGTGTTGTGTGAACACCACCTGCTGGTCATGTTTGTACAAGACAGCCAGGCTAGTTAGTGGCTTCCCCCCAACTACAGGCTGTCCTTGACTTACAGCAGTTCGTTTAGCGACCATTTAAAGTTATGACGGCACTGAAAAAAAGGGACCTAGGACCGTTTTTGACCCACGTTGCAACATCCCCATGGTCAGGTGATCAAAATCCAGAGAGTTGGCAACTGACTCATTTCATGACCCAGCTAGGTAGCATCATCAGTGCTAGAAGGGAGTGGGATGTGCAGAGAGGAGTGTGAGGTCCTTGGTGCTCTCTGAGCTGGGTGGTTTTCTTGCAGACGTTTCATGAGCCAAATAGGGAACCGATGCTATGCTACTCAAAATAAAGATTCTTTAAGGTAAACAATGCCTCAAAGTTCTTGGGAGAGTTTCATCTGTTGGAACAACGACACTCACCTCTAAAGTGCCTCTTTTGCTAGGGTTCAGGATAAGGAATTTTTTCAGCAGATTCTCGCAGTCCGTGGACATGTAGAAGGGGATACGATACTTCCCCCTCAAAACCCGTTCTCGCAGCTCCTGCAAAATGGAGAAGATGTGATGGGGAAGACAAAACATTAATTTTAAGCAGAAAGAGGCTCCCTGCAGGTGCACACACTCTCCTTCAAGAGAACTAGAAGTCTTCTCTTAAAATGTTTTAAAGATTCTAATTTGCAATCTACTATCCGACTGGTGAGCCGCCCAGAATCGTTTGTGGAGATGGGCGGCTGTAGAGAAATCACATCAAAATCAAATTAAAAAAAATACGGGAGGAGAGAGGCGGGTATCGTTCCAGGTGCCGTTCAATCAAAACCTGGGCACCTAACGACCGGTTGACGGGGTCAGCTGGTCTCCCTCTTTACCTTGAGGTTTTGCCCATCAAAGGGCAGGGAACCGCTGACCAGTGTGTAGAGGATGACCCCGAGGCTCCAGACGTCCACTTCGGGCCCGTCGTACTTCTTGCCCTGGAACAATTCGGGAGCGGCGTACGGGGGGCTCCCGCAGAACGTGTCAAGCTTGTTGCCGAATGTGAACTCGTTGCTGAAACCAAAGTCTGCAATCTTGATGTTCATGTCGGCATCTAAGAGCAGGTTTTCTGCCTGGGGGGGGGGAGAAATGGGAGAAGGGGGGGGAGATATTCAGAAGGGGCCGATCCACAAGGAGGACTCTTGTGAGTTTGGGCTGGAAGCCACAGCAGATTAAATCAAAGGTGGGAAAGTTGAGGTTAAATCAAAGAGGCGAGGGCTTTGATTTGGGGGGGGGGGAATCAGGAATCACAGCAACTTTTGGGGAGACTTGAGGGGTCCAGCTGGTAGGGGGGGATGAAGCAAAGAGGGCGAGACTGGCCCGCACAAAGATAGGCGATCTGCAATTTTCCCCAGGTTTCACAAGTACCTTCACAAGCTGTGGATGCTCCATCACTGGAGTTTTTTTAAGAAGAGATTGGACAGCCATTTGTCTGAAACGATACAGGTTCTCCCGCCTGGACAAGGGGCTAGACTAGAAGACCTCCAAAATCCCTTCCAGTTCCATCCTGATTGTAAGTCCTGATTGTCTTTAAGAACCACGGTCAGTTTGTTTTTACCACTAAAGATAGTCCTCAACTTACAGCATTAATTTAGCGACTCGTTGTGTCAACGCTGCTAACATCGGATGTTTTTGCTTTGACAATAGTTGGAGATGCAACCACTTTCTTCTTACGTTTTACTTTTAGAGTTAAATGATGCTGGGAGGGGGGGAAGAATGTGCATGAGAGTTTAGCTAGACACAACAATACTGGACCTAGTGTGAGAACCAAGGTTAATGAAATAAGAGATGGTAAGAATTGGCGGGCTGGAGAACTGGAGGGGAAGCCTGCATTTCAAGCTAATTGCAGAGTAGAGTAGAGTAGAGTAGAGTAGAGTAGAGTAGAGTAGAATAGAACAGAATAAGGAAATATGGAATGGAAAGAATAGAATAAAGTAGAGTAGAGTAGAGTAGAGTAGAGTAGAATAGAATAGAATAGAATAGAATAGAATAGAATAGAATAGAATAGAATAGAATAGAATAGAACAGAACAGAATAAGGAAATATGGAATGGAAAGAATAGAATAGAATAGAATAGAGTAGAGTAGAGTAGAGTAGAGTAGAGTAGAGTAGAGTAGAGTAGAATAGAACAGAATAAGGAAATATGGAATGGAAAGAGTAGAGTAGAGTAGAGTAGAGTAGAGTAGAGTAGAATAAGGAAATATGGAATGGAATGGAAAGAATAGAATAGAATAGAACAGAACAGAACAGAACAAGGAAATATGGAATGGAATAAATAGAATAGAATAGAAGCTGGAAGGGACCTTGGAGGTCTTCTAGTCCAGCCCCCTGCTCAACCTATACCATCTCAGACAGGTGAATGTCTAATCTCTTCTTTAAAATCTCCAGAGATGGAGCGCCCACGATTTCTTGAGGCCAGCTGTTCCACTGGTTGATCGTCCTCACTGCCAGGAAATTTCTCCTTAATTCCAGGTTGCTTTTCTCTTCTGATCAGTTTCCAACCATGGTTTCTCGTCCTGCCCTCTGGTGCTTGGTGAACAACCCAGCCCCCTCTGCCTTGTGGCACCCCCATTGCTAGGTTGTTTCTCTCCTTAATTTTCATCCGTTGCTTCTTGTCCTGCCTTCAGGTGCTTTGGAGACTAGGTTGACACCCCCCCCTCTTCTCTGTGTAAGCCCCTCAAGTATTGGAAGACAGCTACTGTATGTCACCCCTTCATCCTTCTCTTCATTAGACAAGACACACCCAGTTCCCACAATTCTTCATCATAGGCTTTAGCCTCTATCATCTTTGTTGCTCTTCTCTGCACTCTTTCTAGAGTCTCAGCAACTCTTTGGTTTAGAACAGGGGTCTTCAAACTGGGCCCTTTGATGACTTGTGGACTTCAACTCCCAGAATTCCTCAGCCAGGCGGGCCACGTTTGAAGACCCCCTGGCTCTAGAAGACTAGAAAGAGCCCCTCTTTTGGGGTTTGGATAGAAGAGGCCATACCTCATCCTTGGCAATTCAGTTGACTCAATCTTCTGCTGCAGCTTAGGTGGTACCCTTAAAGCCCCAAGCCCCTTCTGCAGGGAGAAGACAATGCCGGTGGGGTCAAGAGCCCCCTTTGGGGGAGCGCCGGGGGGGGTCCACTTCATTCTCAATCTGAGAGCCCTCCAGGTTCTATTCTGATCTTGAGAACTAGACCCTTGTTCCAATCTAAGTGCTCCCCTGTTAAAACAAGAGCGGAAACCGGCTTCCGATTCTAAGCTCCACTTCAGCAAAAGGGTGACTTATGGCAACTCCCCCCCCCCCGGTGAAACTCTGTGGGTAAACTGAGGCCTTTTCGCTTTTTCCACTCACCTTCAAGTCTCTATGTACAATGAACTTTTGGTGACAGTACTGCACAGCAGACACTATCTGGAAGGGAAGGGGAAGAAGGGTGAAAAACAGCATTCCTGCAAGAAGGAAAGCAGCCTCCCTCCGTATTAAATCAACCCTGCTTCGCAACTGTGAGAGTTTTGCTTCCTGGTCTGGGAGGAGAAGGGACTTTTGTTTTTTTAAAAAAAGGTTTTAAAAAACTCATGTGGTCAACATCTGGATGAATGGAAGGACTGTGACAAACCCCTTTGCGTGCCAAAGGGAAGGAAAACCGTCACCCACAAGCCCCAATTGACTGGGCAAAACGTTGGACTAAAAATGGTGGTTTGATGTGGTTGAGAAAGGGTTTCCGGCTGTCTCTTTTCGTTCACCGTTCAGCAACACGCAACACACAACCGGGGAGGTCATCAAAGGAGAAGATTTCCCCCCAGAATTCAGTTCGCTATCTTTGAACAGCCAAGCTTTTAAAAACTCAAAAGCTGTGCTGATCAACCTGAGGGCCCTAAAGGGTGAGTTTTGGTCAAGAAAGCCCAATTTGATCAGGAGCCAAATTTGGGCGGCTGTTTCTTTCCCACAGCACCGCGGACATCCGACTCCACTGTCCTCTTTGCCGGGCAGCTGATGATGGTGGCAGAGATGCCCTTCCTGGTTCTGCCTTTTCACAAGTTAATAGAAGGAGGGGCAGCACCAACCTGTCGGAATTTTGCCCGCGCTTCCTTCTCTTTCATTCTTCCATGAGCCACTAAGTAGTCAAACACTTCCCCTGGAGGAAGAAAGAGAGAGAGACACAGAGAGAGAGAGAGAGAGAGAGAGAGAGAGAGAGAGCAATGAAGCTGCTTTTTCATTTGGAACAGAAATATGGCACATAAATCAGGAAAAGGGGTGAGGGAGGGGAGAAGAGGCAGGGAGCAAAGGTGACGCAACCAAACCTAGACACCTGAGGACGTTTGGCCTGCAACAAGTATTTCTCAAGCTTGGCTAAGTTAAGATGTGTGGACTTCAGCTCCCAGAATTCCCCAGCCAAAAGTCCAGCCATAAGGAATTCTGGGAGTTGAAATCCACCCATCTTGATGCATGCTGGCTGGGGAATTCTGGGAATGGAAGTCCACCCGTCTTAAAGCATGCTTTAAGATTTTTTTTTTTCATCAGACTAGACCAGGGGTCTTCAAACTTGGTCCTTTTATGACTTGTGGACTTCAACTCCCAGAATTCCTCAGCCAGGTACATGGAATTCTGGGAGCTGAAGTCCACAAGTCAGAAAAGGGCCAAGTTTGAAGACCCCTGGTTTAGAATCTCAAGTTTCGAGGAGGAGGAGTTTCTGGTTAAGGAGTGCCTTGAAGATAAGAAGCTCTCATAATAATAATAATAATAATAATAATAATAATAATAATAATAATAATAATGATGATGATGATGATGATGATGATGATGATGATAAGCAGTTGGATTGTGCCTCTGGCTGCCAGGTTATTTATTTGTAGGCGGTCCTCAGTTTACAACCATAATTATGGCCATTAGTTGTTGCGGTCATTAAGTGGGTCACCAGTGACCATGACCGATTTTATGACCTCTTTTTACGGCTGTTGTTAAACAAATGCAGGGGTTGTTAAAGGAAACCGGTTAAATATAGATAGTCCTTGACTTACGATCACAATAGGGACCCCAAGCCATTGGGAAGGATGCATTCAGTCTAGGTCAGGGGTCTTCCAACTTGGCCCTTTAATGACTTGTGGACTTCAACTCCCAGAATTCCTCAACTAGCGTGCCTGGCTGAGGAATTCTGGGAATTGAAGTCCACAAGTCATCAAAGGGCCAAGTTGGAAGACCCCCTGGCTTAAAGCGTGAGCTGCAATTCCCATCAGATTCCTGGAATTTGGAACAGAGGGAGGGCGAGGGGGGGGGGGGAAACGACACCCACTCACCTCCGCTGGCATACTCCATGACGAGGTACAGCGTCTTATCCGTCTCTATGACTTCAAATAATTTAACTGAAAGATAAACCGGGCAGAACGGTGAGGTGAGATTAGACAAACACCTGGCCAAACAAAGAAACCGGACGCAGCTGGATCAGGAAGGAAGAGGGAAACAGGGCTGCAAGGGTGAAGAGGAAGCCCTTACAGGAAGTCCTCGTCTTACGACCGCAACGGAGCCCCCCCCCAAATTTCCGTTGCTAAGCCAGACAGCCGTTAAGGGAATTTTGCCCCCTTTCGCGCAATGTTTCTTGCCGCAGTTCGCTGCAGTGTGTCAAGTTGGCAACTTGGTTGTTAAGTGGATCTGGCTTCTCCCCCCCTCCCCCACTGGACTTTTGCTGGCCAGAAGGTCACCAAAGGGGATCAGCGGATCCCGGGGCGCTGCCACCGTCGTAAAGACGAAGCCGGTTGCCCAGCGTCCAAATTTTGATCGCGCGACCGCTGGGGAGGCTGCGACGGTGGTTAAGGGTGAAAAACGCTAAGGGCCGTTGTAACTTCCGACGGTCACTAAATGAACGGTTGTTAAGTCGAGGACTGGCTGGGCTTGGTGGATGCCATTGCCACAGGAGGAGGAGGAGGAGGAGGAGGGGCAGCCCCCAACTTGAAGCCACAAGGACGTGGGGGCTTTCTGCGGCCATGTTGCAGAATTCGATGGCTTCCAGGATCAGGAGCGGGATGGTGCCAAAGAGGACAAGCACTTCCCAGATGTGCTGGGGAGGAACTTGCTCAAACTCCAGCCGGCAAAGCCAGATGTTGAGAGCAAGGAAAGGCTGGGGGGGATGATGCTTGACAGGCAAGGCCCATCTGCTGCTTCCCGTCCGGCAGAGAAAGAACAGCAACATCTAGACGGGAGGAAATGAGGAAGGACTCACCTATATTCGGGTGATTCAGAACCTTCATTATTCGTACTTCCCGGAAGAGCTGGAGGAAAAGAAGGGGAAAAGAAAGAGACGGTTACTTCCAAGCCTTCAATGGTTGTACTTCCCTGTCTGGAAGCAGCTTTCCCCCCCCCCTTCCTACCATGGGGCCTTCTGGGTGAGCTGGAACTGCAATTCCCAGAATCCCCGTTGACACCAAAGCTCACGGGAAGGAGGGATTCTGCAGAATGCTGGCTGGGGAATTCTGGGGATTGAAGTCCACCCATCTTAAAACATGCTGGATGGGGAATTCTGGGAGTTGAAGTCCACCTCTCTTAAAGTATGCTGCCTGGTATGTGTGTGTGTATGTGTTTCTGGGAACTGAAGTCCACCCATCTTAAATCATGGCTGGCCAGGGAATTCTGGGAGTTGAAATCCACCCTTCTTAAAGCATGCCGGTCAGGGGATTCTGGGAATCGAAGTCCACAGATCTTAAAAGTTACTAAGTTTGAGAAACACTGAACGAGACTGTTGTTCTCACTGGATTAAGCCTTTTCAAGAATAACATATTAATCTGCAAAGGCCCCAAAGAGAAGCTGACTGTGCTGCAAAGAGGCAGAGTAAGAAGCAGTGTTCCAATATCTCAGGGGCTGCCCCCAAAGAAGAGGGAGCCAAGCTATTCTCCAAAGCACTGAAAGCAGGATAAGAAGCAACGGATGGAAACTAATCAGGGAGAGAAGCAACCTAGAACTAAGGAGAAACTTCCTGACAGTGAGGACAATTAACCAGTGGAATTCCTTGCCTCCAGGAGTGGTGAATGCTCCAACACTGGAAGTTTTCAAGAAGAGACTGGACAGCCATTTGTCTGAAATGGTATAGAGTTTCCTGCCTGACAAGGGGGTTGGACTAGATGACCTCCAAGGTCCCTTCCAACTACAACTACTTCTCCTCTTCCTCCTCCTCCTCATTATTATTATTATTATTATTATTATCGATCATCACACAGTCAGCCAGATGTTCAGACTGGATTTGGCATTTTGTCTACCTATCGAGTCCTTATCCAGGACCTGGGATAGGCAGATGTGGATGTTTGATGGTATTACAGGTATCGTTGCAGGATGGAAGCAGTTCCTAGTAAGGCTGCCTTTTGCAATTGACTAATGGCGAATTTGTCAATGCCGATGATGGTGTTCAAGTGGTGCTCCAGTTGTTTTGGGATTGCACCCGAGGAGCCTATGATTATTGGTACTACCCTTGCTTTCTTTTGCCACAGTCTTTCTATTTCTATTTGTAGGTCTTCGTATTTTGTTATCTTCTCCAGCTCTTTCTCTTCTATTCTGCTATTATTATTCCCCTATGATTTCACTCAAGGAGGAGGGGGAAGCGAAGGGAAGATTGTCTGGATGTGGACCTGCAAATCCCAGCATCCTCCAGTAGCTGAGGCTCACGAGAACTTGAGGAAGGTCTCATTTTTTTGCTCAGTCCTGAAACCTCATCAGGAAAGATAGAGGAGCAGGCCTCCAGCTACATATACCACAAAACCCCCCACAATCCTGTACATTTGGGACTGCTTTATAGACAAAAGCGAAAGTTTTCCTTTGCATTTTTCTTCCAATTATTCTACTCCAGGGCATCTTTCAGGCCTCAGCTTCTCCACCAATGGCAGAACCCCCCCCCCACTTGTACTTCTGTGACATCGGGGACTCTCAGCCAATCGCCGCTAAAGGCTTCACACTGCCGCCGCCATTAAAAAAAAAAACCAAAAACCCACACTGAGTTTGGAAACAAAGCGAGATTAAAAAGCCAGCAATTTCACACTCGGCCGACCAAAGAGAATGCGGGCCCGCCAATTCATCAAGCCGGAACCCATCTTTACCTTCTGTAAGCTGGAGGAATTCAACTGCGTCTTGTCGATGATTTTCACAGCCACCTGGAAGAGAAGCCAACGCAAACAAAGTCACAGGCCTGTCTGAATGGCAGCCAAAAAAAAAAAGGGAGGCTTGCGAGCTAAACAGTGGTTTGTCCCTTCTTGGGTGCCTCCGGGGTTCCGCAAAACAACGGAGCACTCTTTAAAAAAAAAAAAGGAAGGTTATAGGAAAGCCCAGTTTCTTCAGTTTAAATATTTATTTTTCTCCCCTCCCCAATTAAACACAGTCCCAAAGTTCGCAGGATCTCCTGGTGCTTCTCAAGCAGCCAGGGAAATCGGAAGATCCAGGTTTAAACAAGAATCTGAACTCCTAAATGGTCAAAAGCAAATTGGCAGTAGATAAAGAGTCAAGGAATTGACTCTTTGCTCTCTCGTGGGCACGAAGGGACTCCAGGCTGATGACAGGCTTGACCCCTCCTTCTCTCGGGCTCAGCCTGGTCCTCTACAGCGCTCCCGTCTACGTGCAACCACTTCACCTACACCAGCTTAGTAGAGCTACACGGGCTATTGCAGTCAACTCCAGGGTCCAGAAAACGGGGATTATTAGAGATTTGTGGATTTGGTGATAAGGTTTGCCGATTCCTTCTCCCGCCCCAGACGGGGGTGGGGGAGAGAAGGCAGACAGCTTCTGAAGAAGCTGGGCTGGGGTGGCAGTGCCATCAGCCACCATCTGCTCCAAAGGGAGAAATCGGAGGAAGAGGGCCAGGAATTGCACGCAGACTCTTGGCAAGGTTTAAAAGAAAAAGATGGGGCATTTTTTGAAGGCAGCTTAACTTGTTCATCGGAGTTTGCACTAAAGGGTTTGGGTGTGTGTGTGTGTGTGAATTTGAAGCCCCGTAGCTGAAGAGTTATGCATTTGGACGTAAAGAGGTCTGCCATTGGGGATATTGGAACTAATAAGTGAGCCAGTCTGGTCTAGTGGCGAAGGCACCAAGGTAGAGACCCAGGAGATAGAGAGTTCCGCCTTAGGCATGAAAGCCAGCTGGGTGACTTTGGACCGATCACTAGGAGACAATGAGTTCTAGTCTCACATTAGACATGAAAGCCAACCGGGTGACTTTGATCCAGTCACTAGGAGACCGTGAGTTCTAGTCCTGCCTTAGGCATGAAAACTGACTGGGTGACTTTGGGCCAATTACGAGGAGATGGTGAGTTCTAGTCCTGCCTTAGACATGAAAGTCAACTGGGTGACTTTGATTCAATCACTAGGAGACCGTGAGTTCTAGTCCTGCTTTAGGCATGAAAGCCAGCTGGGTGACTTTGGGCCAATCACCGAGTTTGAAGAGCCCTGCAGTAGACTGTCACAGGAGCGCAAATCCTACTGCAAAAGACCTAGGTTGCGTGCTCCCCCCCTCCCCTTGGTCTATGGAAGAATTGTTTTCCATGCAACTGGTCCCTGGTGTCCGATAAACTGGGGGCCACCAGGTTCGAGCCTAAACTCACACGAAGGATTCACGGGCCCGGATTCCACCCAGGCAACTTAGGTCTGTTGCTCTCACCTCTTTCCCTGTCAAGACGTGGCGCGCCAACTTGACCTTGGCAAAATTGCCCTTGCCGATGGTCTTCAGCAGGCGGTAGTTCCCAATGTGGGGCTGCTCGTCGGTGGCGGTTGCAGGGATGCGGCCTCGCAGCATGTTGGACTTGGTGCTGGGCTTGGAGTCTGGGTGTCCCAAGGCCGGCTGGAGAGATGGAAAAGGAAAAGGGGAAGGAGAGAGAGAGAGAGAGAGAGAGAGAGAGAGAGAGAGAGAGAGAGAGAGGAAGGAAGGAAGGAAAGAAGGAAGGAAGGAAGGAAGGAAGAAAGAAGGAAAGGAAGGAAAGAAAGAAAGAAAGAAAGAAAGAAAGAAAGAAAGAAAGAAAGAAAGAAAGAAAGAAAGAAAGAAAGAAAGAAAGAAAGAAAGAAAGAAAGAAAGAAAGAAAGAAATGAGGTGAATTACTTTTTTATGGAACTCCGCTCTGTCTGCAAAACAGAGAATCCTCGCCTTACGGCTGCAATTGAGCCCAACATTTCTGTTGTTAAACAAGACAGTTGTTCAGTAACTTTTGCCCCATTTTACGACCTGGCTTGCCCAGTTCTTCAGTGAATCCCTGCAGATGGTTAAGTCAGTCACACAGCTGTTAAGTCAGTGGTTCTCAACCTTTCTAATGCTGCGACCCCATAATACAGTTCCCCATGTTGTGGTGACCCCCAACCACTTATACATCACCGGGTGCCAGGAGTATGGCCAAAGAAAAGGGGGGGGGGGAAATGGTGGACAGCCTTGTTTGGTGACCCCCGTGAAATGGTCGTTCGACCCCAAATGGGGTCCCGACCCACAGGTTGAGAACCACTGTGTTAAGTGAATCTGGCTTCTCCACTGACTTTTGCCTGTCAAAAGTTTGCCAAAGGGGATCACGTGAGTCCGGGACGCTGCGCCCGTCATAAATACCTGCCAGGTGTGTAGGACTACCTGTAGATTCCCAGAAAGAAGGTTTCTCTCCTTATTTTTGCTATCCTGCAAAGCTCGGAAACTCTCCCAGTGCTTCTTGTCCTGCCTTCTGGTACTTTGGAGAATAGGTTGACCCCCCCCCCAATTTTAGTGGCAGCCCCTGAGATACTCAAAATACTATTTTTTGACCATTTCCACCCCCAAATCCATCCTCAGCTCTGCAACTCTCCACCCCGCTGCTGAGATGTTCCCCAGCGATGATCCGCCAGGCAGTTAGTAGCTCCATGCGCCCTTCTTCAGAAACAGTTCCAAAAATGTGCTTCGGACTCCCCCACATGATCTCCACACCGCTGCTATTCACGTTTCTCAGGCTTAACGAGCTAATTGATTAAAGTCAACGGGAATCAGAGCTGGAGGGTGGGCGGGCAGCCCTCGCAATTAGAAGATGGGAATAAATCATATTTTTCCCACTTTGATTGCGCTCTACACCCCTGGCTGCGACTGTTGGCCTGCTCTTCTCCAGGGGAGACTGCGCTGTGTCAACACCCTGCCGAGCAGGCCTAATGAAGGATTATTTGAGGGGGGGTGGGTAAGAGATAACAGATGCAACCGCTAAAGGGGAGGATGATGACCGCACAACAGATTTGACAATCGGTATATATATATAAATATATATATATATTTAAACCAGGTTATAATTGCCTGACCAGTGTTGGTTGTAACAGTTCCTGAAGACAATCTGCACACTGTGGACAGGTTCTACAATTGTTAAACTAAGAAGAGCAAAGATTTTTTTTCTGGGGGGGGGGTGAGTTTATGCATGGATGAGGAATAGAATAGAATATGAATGAATAGAATGGAATGGAATGGAATAGAATAGAACAGAATAGAAAATATGGGACGAGATGGGATGGGATGGGATGGGACGGGACAGGACAGAATAGAATAGAATGGAACGGAATGGAACAGAATAGAGTAGAGTAGAGTAGAGTAGAGTAGAGTAGAGTAGAGTAGAGTAGAGTAGAGTAGAGTAGAGTAGAAGAGAAGAGAAGGAAATAGGAATAGAATAGAATGGAATAGAATAGAAAGAATAGAAAATAAGATAGAATAGAAAATAGGATAGAATAGAATATAGAATAGAATGAAATGGGAATAGAATATAGAATAGAATAGATGAAAATAGGAATAGAATAGCCTAGACTAGACTAGATTGGAAGGGACCTTAGAGGTCTTCTAGTCCAACCCCTGAGAAACAGACAAATGGCCTGACCCTGACTGAGAATGAACCAGTGGGGGATCCAGTAGGATCACAAAAAAAGGCCACATGAGCCCACAAAGACAGTCCCGGAGGCTAAACAAACAGTGGAGGCTGCTCTTAAGTTAAACATCTGCAATTCCGTTGCTCTCCATAAGCAGCCATTTTGGATCAGCGAAGCACCCAAGCAAGATCTCAACAGACCTTTAATCACCTTCTGACGATGGAGGAATTCTGTTCACGGGCAGGGACCGCCAAGGTTTTTTTTTTTGGGGGGGGGGAACATCTAGTGGAAAAACAATCCACCGCCACCACCACAAACGAATTGGGCAACTAAAGCCAGCTTCACTTAACAACCGGGTGACTCGCTTATCAGCTGCAGTGATTCACGTAACAACCGTGGCGAGAAAGGTCGTAAAACGGGGCAAGATTCACTCAACAAAGGTCTCCCTTAGCCACAGGAGTTTTGGGCACATCCACTGTGCTCGTAAGTCGAGGACAAACTGCATTCGTTGGCCAAGAAGTTAGGCTTGGGCTGCTCACCAGGTTGAGAAAACCCACAGAGGTGGGGTGTGTGTGTGTGTGTGTGTGTGTGTGTGTGTGTGTGTGTGTCTGTGTGGGCAGAGACACAACTGGGCTTTCTGTTCTTAAAACGACACACTTCCTGAATAACCACGAAAGCCTAATACATGCCCCTTTGAAAGAGACGGTACCACTTTCTCCCTAAGAGTCACTTCTACAGAGATAACACATTTAAAAAACGTTTCCGCCCTAGCACAAATGCTTTCATCGATGAATAAAACATGAAATCCATTATCTCTGCAAAACTTTGGCCCATCCAGTGCCTGGATAGGCTGTTAAGATGTGAGCAACACGACTTGTTTCCGGATGTTCCTAGTATAACAGCATCTTTCTCTCCGGCTCTTCCGGAAAAACCACGTTAGAGAGACAGGAGCTTAACAGAAGAACAGAGCGGGGAGGGATCCCGGAGGTCTTCTAGACCAACCCCCTGCTCAGGCAGGAAACCCTATACCATTTCAGACAAATGGCGGTCTAATCTCTTCTTGAAAACCTCCAGTGATGAGGGAGGGAGGGAGGGAGAGAGGGAGGAAGGAAGAAAGGAAGGAAGGAAGGAAGGAAGGAGAGGAGGGAGGGAAAAAAAGAAAGAAAAGAAAGAGAAAAGGAGGGAGGGAGGGAGGGAGGGAGGAAGGAAGAGGAGGAGGAAGGGAAAGAAAGAAAAGAAAGAAAGGGAGGGAGGGAGGGAGGGAGGGAGGAAGGAATGAATGAATGGGAGGAGGGAGGGAAAGAAAGAAAAGAAAGAGAAAAGGAGGGAGGGTGGGAGGGAGGGAGGAAGGAAGAGGAGGAGGAAGGGAAAGAAAGAAAAGAAAGAAAGGGAGGGAGGGAGGAAAAAAAAGAATAGCAGAATAACAGTGGGAAGAGACCTTGGAGGTCATCTAGTCCAACCCCCTGCTCAAGCAGGAGACCCTATACCATTTCAGACAAATGGTGGTCTTCTTGAAAACCTCCAGTGATGAGGGAGGGAGGGAGGGAGGGAGGGAGGGAGGGAGGAAGGAAGGAAGGAAGAAAAGAAAGCAGAATAAGAGTTGGAAGTGACCTTGGAGGCCTCAATATTTTGCTAACATACATTGTGCACGCACCATCCTTGAAACAAGCTCTTCGTGTGTGTGGGAGGGGGGCTTATAGCTTAAGGGGGAAAAAAACACCAGTTTTAAAATAATCAAAGGGAAGACCATCACAAAAGGCAGCTAATGTGGGAATAGATGAAGGACGGGTAACCAGGTCAATAAACTGTAGAGTTCGAAGATCATTAAAAAAACAAAAACGGGAGTGCAAAGCCACAGATCTTAAGTAAGTCAAGCACACTGGGGTTACAACGACAGCAAACACAAAGCTAAAATGGCTGGGCTGTTTTATGGCAAGGCAAAGGGCTGGAACATGCCACACAGCCGGCAGCAAGAGCAGAGGCGGAAATTGTGTTACCGCACAGTGCAATTAGCGTCAACGCAATTCTTGCCTGTGGGCTCATCCAGCAAAGGGGAAATGGCTAAAGCAGGGGTCTTCAAACTTGGCAACCTGAAGACTTGTGGACTTCAACTCCCAGAATTCCTCAGCCAGCATACACACAGCGGATGGGCAGGGGTGTTCAAACTTGGCCCTTTTATGACCTGTGGACTTCAACTCCCAGAATTCCTCAGCCAGGTGTGCCTGGCTGAGGAATTCTGGGAGTTGAAGTCCACAAGTCATAAAAGGGCCAAGTTTGAAGACCCCTCATATAGACTTTAAGAGGAGTGAACTTCAACTCCCAGAATTCCTCAGTCAGTATGCCTGGCTGAGGAATTCTGGGAGTTGAAGTCCACAGGTCATAAAAGGGCCAAGTTTGAAGACCCCTGGTGGATGGCGAAGGCCTCTTTGCTCTTTCCCATCTTTCAAAGCCACCCTGTCACAGGAAGTCCTCAACTTACAACCATTTGTTCAGCTGTATTCATTCAATGTTCCCGTGCAAAGAAACCTGAGCTCACGAGACCACCGTTTGCGACTTTAAAATCAATGGGGGAAGCCGGTTTCGCTTAACGGCCATGAGGTTCACTTAACAACGGTGGCGACTGGCTTAAAAACTGTGTCCAAAGTTGCAAAGCCGGGCAGTACTCACTTCACAACCATCTTGCTTAGCAATGGAAACCGTGGTCCAGTTGTGGTCGTAAGCTGAGGACTATCATCAGCCTTTACGGGTAATCCTCAACTTGAAAACGGTTCGTTTAGGGACCGTTCAAAGTTATGACGGCGCTGAAAGAGGTGACTTATGACCATTACGACACAGCCGTTGCAGCTTCCCCGGGGTCAACGTGATCAAAATTCAGACTGACTCATAGTTACGACGGCGGCCGTGTCCCGGGGTCCCGTGACAAACCAATCCAGTGGGAAGCCAGATCCACTTAACAACCGTGTGAGTAACTTAACAAATGCACTGAAGAACGGT